GTATGATGGCTGCGTGGTCCCATGGTGTTTATACTTGCGTACTATTGTTTGTACAGATGAACGTGGTACCTTCATGCATTTGGAAATTGCTCCCAAGGATGAACCGGACTTGTGGAGGTCTACAATTTTTTTTCTGAGGACTTGGCTGATTTCTTTTGATTTTCCCATGATGTCAAGCAAAGAGGCACTGAGTTTGTAGTACATCCACAGGTACACCTCTAATTGACTCAAATGATGTCAATTAGCTTATCAGAAGCTCCTAAAGCCATGACATCATTTTCTGGAATTTTCCAAGCTGTTTAAAGGCACAGTCAACTTAGCGATGTAAACTTCTGACCCACTGGAATTGTGAAATAATCTGTCTGTAAACAATTGTTGGAAAAATTACTTGTGTCATGCACAAAGTAGATGTCCTAACCGACTTGCCAAAACTATAGTTTGTTAACAAGAAATGTGTGGAGTGGTTGAAAAATGAGTTTTAATGACTCCAACCTAAGTGTATGTAAACTTCAGACTTCAACGGTATCTACAGAAGTGGGGTTTGGAATCAAATTCAAATTTGAATCCTATTTTTCCGGAACTTTTAGCACACGTCTTATAACATACAGGTAGGTAACTGCCAAAATAAAGGAAGCACTTGAGTAAATTAGGGATACAAAGTATATTGAAAGCAGGTGCTTTTTTTAGGTCTTGTGAGCGTAAACTTCAAAGTTTTTAGAAATTTGTGCAACTTCCGGAACTGAGGCTGTACCCTTACAGTTTTAGACAGTAGCCAATAGGCTATTGTGGCTATTTGAGCATAATGTAGGCCTACCAACAAAACCAATAGAGCAAATCCCATAACATTTCCACATGGAAATAGCTTTTGATTTCTATGATACATGGAAATAGCTTTTGATTTCTATGATATAGCCTACAGTAGCCTATATGGGGTGTTCAATGCAGGCCTGCATTGCATGAGACTTTTAAAAACGAGCTTAACATTAATTAATGATTTTTTACTTGGTCTGTAACACAATAGGACAAATAGGTGACTGTAAATTGCATTGTATTGTGTTGTATGATGCAAGAAACCACTTTACAAAATCAAATTAATTATTATTACCATACAGAGAATTAGAAAATGTAGGCTACCCCTCTGCCTATTGGCTTATTTGCATATTCAAGCTTGTCTCAAAATACAACACTGCCCCTTTAATTAAGACAAACTTTTTACCTGACTTTTTCAAAGACAGCTTGAAATGTAGCCTACAGGTTTTGTGGTCTTGTAGGAAGCAATAACTCCCCCTTGCTGACGTATATTTATCTATAATTATGCTAATAACTTGCTAACTAGCAAAGAATATCAACAAATGTGCACACGCGCGGCTCTGCGCACTGATCTGAACTGATCTGAAATGCGCATTCATTCCCGGGTGATCAACGACCGCTCATGGCCTACCCCCGCCAATAGAATTATACTTCTTGCGCTCTGGCTTTGCTATAACAAAATCACAGACTCAATCTTGCAAAGTTAGATTTGTTTTGTTTTGTTGCATTGAAAAGGGGCTGATACAATGTTGATTTGATCACAGAAAAAACGTTGATCTAAATAGTGCAAACTAATTGGGCGAACTCAGTGAAGTTCAATCTCTTGCGTCTCTTGCGGCTCGTGGTGGCCCAACGCCCTATTAAGACACTTTATGTTAGTGTTTCCTTTATTTTGGCAGTTACCTGTATATTCAAACTACAATCAAATCAATACTGTCAAATCTCAGGGGATGTATGCACAATTACTATCACCAGCCAGAGTTTAATTGACTATATTGCCTACAAAATGCCATTACCTATTAAGCGATTCCTATTGTACTTGAAATCATAAACTAAGGTTGAGCAAGTGAGGCTTAGATAAATCTTACTAATATAATCCTGTCTAGTGACGAACTTGAGCGTGGTGTCTTTGGTGTCATAGCGCTGCTCTCCTTCCTGCTGCTGGGTTGTCATCGTGTTGCTCTCTGTCTTCACTGTCTCTCAGTCGTAGCCTCATACACACAGGGCGGACTGTGGGATTTGAATAAGAGAAGCAGATTTGCTCCTCAACTATCCCTTGTACTTGTTTTTCCAACATCACTAGATTTCACTTTCTTTTTCAACTACCATTTACAAGAAGTCACATGGTATGAAGGACATGCATGCTGTTGTTGCCCAACTATTTTACTCCTAGGTAGTGATTGAAAAGTGTATTGTTATACTTTGTGCTGTTGAATTGATTCCTAGAGGCTTGCACCTTTGCATGTTGTCAAATTTAATTACTGTCCAACATTGTTATTAGCTAGATCTTTGAGCATGACAGATCACAGTCACTGCAGATTAACTTGTATCAATTACAATTGACATTTTCTGACTCAGGGCCGGTTTTAGCCTTTTGGGGGCCGTAAGCAAGCAAAACATTTTAGTGCACAAAACATTTTAGTGACCCCCTTCTTTAAGGCAGAGAGAAAAATGTATGTTTTAAAGTGAATTTCCTGCAATTCTACACATTTTGCCATGGGGTGGAGAGACATTTTTTTCAGGTTTAAAGCAAATGTCCTGCAATTCTACACATTTGCCATGACTTATGCCATGTTAATAATATCTGACTGAGAGTGACTAAAAAAATCAATGGGGGCCCCTGGAGGTCATGGCCCCTGGGCATTTGCATTTGGTCGGTATTTGGCCATGATTACTACAACTTTAGATAGCTGGCTAGACTAACTTACCAATCAAATAATTGTTAGCTGACATGGTTAATTGAGTGACTGTCAGTGACTGACATAACAAGAGAAATATTGCTGAAGCACAAACAAATTTCGAACTTGCACCTTGTGTATTCCGCTATTCTAACTCTCAATAGTTAGTTGAGACCCCGACTGAGTCCCCCCCCCAAAAAAAATAATTATAATATATATATACACTACCAGTCAAAAGTTTGGACACACCTACTCATTCAAGGGTTTTTCTTTATTTTTACTCATTTTTACATTGTAGAATAATAGTGAAGACATCAAAACTATGAAATAACACATATGGAATCATGTAATAACCAAAAGTGTTAAACGAATCAAAATCTATTTTATATTTGAGATTCTTCAAAGTAGCAACCCTTTGGCTTGATGCTTTGCACACTCTTGGCATTCTCTCAACCAGCTTCATGAGGTAGTCACCTGGAATGCATTTCAATTAACAGGTGTGCCTTCTTAAAAGTTAATTTGTGGAATTTCTTTCCTTCTTAATGCGTTCATGCCAATCAGTTGTGTTGTGACAAGGTAGGGGTGGTATACAGAAGATAGCCCTATTTGGTAAAATACCAAGTCCATATTATGGCAAGAACAGCAAAGAGAAACGAGAGTCCATCATTACTTTAAGACATGAAGGTCAGTCAATACGGGACATTTCAAGAACTTTGAAAGTTTCTTCATGTGCAGTCGCAAAAACCATCAAGCGCTATGAAGAAACTGGCTCTTATGAGGACCGCCACAGGAATGGAAGACCCAGATTTACCTCTGCTGCAGAGGATAAGTTCATTAGAGTTACCAGCCTCAGAAATTGCAGCCCAAATAAATGCTTCACAGAGTTCAAGTCACAGACACATCTCAACATTAACTGTTCAGAGGGGACTGTGTGAATCAGGCCTTCGTGGTCGAATTGCTGCAAAGAAACCACTACTAAAGGACACCAATAAGAAGAAGAGACCTGCTTGGGCCAAGAAACACGAGCAATGGGCATAAGACCAGTGGACATTTGTCCTTTGGTCTGGAGTCCAAATTTGAGATTTTTGGTTCCAAATGCCATGTCTTTGTGAGACACGGGGTGGGTGAACTGATGATCTCCGCATGTGTAGTTCCCACCGTAAAGCATGGAGGAGGAGGTGTTATGGTTTGGGGGTGCTTTGCTGGTGACACTGTCTGTGATTTATTTAGAATTCAAGGCACACTTAACCAGCATGGCTACCACAGCATTCTGCAGCGATACACCATCCCATCTGGTTTGGGCTTAGTGGGACTATCATTTGTTTTTCAACAGGACAATGACCCAACACACCTCCAGGCTGTGTAAGGGCTATTTTACCAAGAAGGAGAGTGATGGAGTGCTGCATCAGATGACCTGGCCTCCACAATCCCCCGACCTCAACCCAATTCAGATGGTTTTGGAAGAGTCGGACGGCCGAGTGAAGGAAACGCAGCCAACAAGTGCTCAGCATATGTGGGAACTCCTTCAAGACTGTTGTAAAAGCATTCCAGGTGAAGCTGGTTGAGAGAATGCCAAGAGTGTGCAAAGCTGTCATAAAGGCAAAGGGTGGCTATTTGAAGAATCTCAAATATAAAATATATTTTGATTTGATTAAAACTTTTTTGGTTACTATATGATTCCATATGTGTTATTTCATAGTTTTGATGTCTTCACTATTATTCTACAATGTAGAAAACAGTAAAAAATTAAAGAAAAACCCTTGAATGAGTAGGTGTGTCCAAACTTTTGACTGGTACTGTATATATTACTTTAACATTTTGGGGGGTGGGGCGTGGTTGGAGGCCTAAGAGACCGCTTATGTTGCTTATGCCTGGAACCTTCCCTGCTCTGACTTATCTAAGGGGGATTCCAGAGAACATCACTATGGCAACAGATCCTTCAAAAAAAAAAAAGGTGCAGATATACATTTGATATGTCAAATTGTATGAGTAAAATGTATACCACAGGGATAAGACACAGAAAGCGCTCACATAATTCATTGTTATTACAAGTTAACATAGTGTTAAAGCTAAATCCATGTTGAACAAAAAATCCAGGGGACAATTAGAATACCTCAGTGTTGCTTTGCCTTGCTCATTACTCTAGTGTACTTTTTTCATTTGTACAGTTCAACACTTAATGAATAGTCGATTTCCCCCCTCTGGTAAATAATGTACAAACACCACCTACTTGATTAAGTAACCATTTACACCAGTGCACAAGACTGTGCCATAATGGACACCAAGTTTCCATCAGCAGTCATTTGAATCATTTTGGGTCGAGTGCAACTGCAGAACACTGGGGGCCTCAGGGGCAACATGAACCCTGACTCTGGAGGAGCGGTACCTCCTGTAGATCACCATCAGGGCAGCTAAGAGACAGACAGCAGCACTGACCCCCAGGACTGCAGCCAACGTGGGGTCTGTACTGACCCCTGGTACTGCACAGGTAGGGGCAGGGTCAAAGGTCAGGCTCGGGTCAGGGGTTGTGTTCTGATGTAACAGGGGATCGCTGAGGGAGAGAAGACAAGAAAATAAACCATTTATTTATACTGATAAGGAAGTAATGTATTGCTCTCTGAGAAAGTGAAAGACCACTTGATAAAGTAACAGAATTACAAGTTCATATTGTGCCATACCAAACATACTGAAATACTTCCTACTCGGCCATACTCACTTCTCAGTAGTCACTGTGCCTTTAGTAGATGCAGCTGGAGAGTGGGGGGCCTGGTTGTTGATGGAGAGACCAATGTCAGGGTAATAACACAACCTCTTGTCAGGACATGCAACTAACCCCCTGTATCCTGTCACCTGGATGAATGAATGAAGGAGAAATCATGTCAAATCGTAGTAGAATCTAATGGTCAAAATGGCAAAATCGGTGTATGCTCCAAAGTTACCTCAATGGCGCTTCCTACTGGGCAGTCCATCCAGTCAGAGCCAGACACCTGTATCTGATATCTGTTCAGCCCAGTACACCTGCGTCTATAACAACGGCCCCACCACAGAGTCACTGACAGACAGGGAGACATTCTGACAGAGAGAGGCGATGGAGAGAAAATAAAATAAATGGGTATGTGTCACTTTCATACACTTTTTCACAAATATATGCTGTATCAATGCACACACACTGACCTCTCTGCTCAGGTTAGAGAAGAAGCATCGGCTGTCTATACGGTACAACTCTCCACTCCACTCTGTTTCAGTCCCTCTCTCATTCTCCTCTTTCCAGCACTCACTCTTAGGAAAACACAGAGAGAGGAGTAAAGGAAGAGGAGAGAGAAGTGTAAATATGGAGAGAAGGTGAAGACGAGGAAGAGTGTTTGAAATACTGTTTTGTCATGGAGAATAGAGTTCAGGGAAACGGTCAAACTGAAGTGAATGAGAGCAGAAGACCCACCATTAGAGGTTTATAAATGCGGCACCCATCCAGGTGAGGGTCAGTCTGACACACCCCCTTGTGGTGGTGAAGATAATGACACCCTAAACCACTGAGCAACGGAGAACACAAGTCAAACAGAGAGTGAGGTAGAGGAACTGGACAGCTTTAGACAACGTTGGAGAATGGGATTTTCTTTTTTTTTATTTGTAAAATAATGTTATGGTTAAGTGTGGGATATTCATATAAAATAATAGCAATACCTGCCCATGCAGAAAAATGAGGAGGAGTTGTCATGGCAGGTGGACAGCAAGCCAAACATTGCTCCCTCACCTACGCAAGACACACAAACAATATCTCACTATGGACATTAAGCAGGTACACATAGAATCACTCATACCACACGATATTCCTCTCTTCCACTCTTTATCTTTGACAGATATTCTTTCTAACCACTATATCTGTTTGGTTCATTTATGAAAAGTGATATCCGTCTCAATGGACCGGCACAAAGACCATGTGGCTGTCCCTTACCCTTTCCCCACACCAGGCTCTGTGCTCGGCTGTGGTTGACAGAGTACCAGCCCGTGTCCTGTAGGGCGGCCAGAGTGACCGGGTCGACACGCACCACAGCTGGGTCCCCCAGGGCTGCAGCCATGATGGAGCCCTGTAGCACCCTGGACTCCCAGTGAGAGGACAGACCACTAGAACCAACATCCTGGGAGATGGGGAGAGGAGAAGGAGAGAGAGAGAGAGACAGAGGGGGAGAGTAATTGTTAAAGAGTTAGGGGAGAGAAAGAGAGAGATTGAGAGAGAAGTGTGAGAAAGGAGTTACAGGTAACGAGGTAGAGAGAGAAAGGTCAAGTACAATATAAGACCACAAACATATTGGGAACGACTCTGATATGAATAAAGTGGGAGAGTCCAGTATTTCATGAGTGTGACTACAGTGCCAACCTTTTTGCACTACTATATAATGTGTGCTAATGGCTCATGGCAGGGTCCGTACCAGGTTCTCCAGTGGTCCTCCCAGCTCAGGGTCAGTAGATAACAGGTGGTCCTGCAGGGCTCTGATCACTGATTGGGTGTAGATCCTCACCTGACCCGTCTCATCTGTGTTAGTCACCTGACCCCGGGGGGGGCAGCCCATCCCAGCTACACAACACAGTAACACAACACAGGATCACATACCCACACAACAACCACACAACACAACCGAGTATAACTCAATCACACAACAAAGAACCCACAGCAGAGAAATACAAATTAAATAAGTCTACCCATGACCAAAAGATTGCACAAAAACACACCATAAAGTAACACAATAAAAGATAGCCTTATAATACAAATGTAATATACCAAATGATAACACAAGCAAGGTTACTGACGTTGTGAGTAGGAGCAGTCTCTCCAGGTGCTGAAGAGTTCTTTGGAGAAACCCAATGCATGGAACAACTCATGGATCACTGTCTGGAGAAAAGAAGGAAAGGAGACGCTAATTATTACACACACACACACACACACACACACACACACACACACACACACACACACACACACACACACACACACACACACACACACACACACACACACACACTATTATTTTACCTGCACAGTGCCTTGGTGGCTGTATGCCTCCCCAGTCAGTCTGTCCCTACAGATTACCACCACACCAGCCAGAGGTCGACCCTGGGAGTCAGTTTGGCAGTGCACTGCATAGGCCAACACACTGGGCTGGGATATATGAATAGTGAAGAGGAAAGAGTGATACATTGACAGTCAACATACTTTATGACCTGAGTTCATTACTGATCGTATTGCTTTTTTATTGGTGAGGGTATGCTGGTAAGGGTATCTGCTGTTCTTAGATCTGTACCTAAGGACAACCAGAGCTACATTGACAGTCACAAACTAAGTTGATTTACAGTGAACATAACATTGACTCCACTGTGACTCCTCACCTCTGCTCGACACTTGTCAGTGCTCTGTGTGTGGAGGTAAAGTAGGAAGTCAGTGTCAGGAAGTCCCGCCCCCTCAGGCCTTATCACAGTCATGGTTGGTGCATCATGCTCTGAGTACACGGAACAACCACTCAGGTGATCATCTGGGATCTGTCAATCAACAGTGGGTAGGGAGATGAGATGGTGCATCCTCACTGGCAGGTCATGATTTCCATCAAAGGACTAATAATAATACAGCATCTCTGTCTGTGTGATATGAGAGAGAGTGCAGATGCTGCTACTCACAATGACATCCAGACAGGTCTCTGTCCTGTACTTCTCATTGGCTCGGCCACACCTGTGGAAATGGAAATCTTTGATTGGTTGAAATCATTCACTGACCTATAACAGTAGAAAATCCTATTTACTGTATCAGAAAGTCTTAGACAAGAGAAACATACTGTATAAACAGAGATGGTATTTTACTATGTAAAGAAATGGACAAATATGCACATATAGCTAGGCATACAGTTGTAACACACAGACTTGTTATAGTTGGCAGCAATGGCGTTCCTCCATATGAATTTGCAGTACTTGTTGATGTCTCTGCTGAGCAGCAGATGACCAGTGACTCTGTTTACTGTAGGGACAGCAGGTATTAAATTATCAGTGAAACACTTAGTGATCCCCACATGATTACAACATGCAGTCCAAAGGCACACACAATAATGTTCCTACTGACAAACATCCACACACAGTAGATACACTGAACAAAAATATAAATGCAACATGTAAAGTGTTGGTCCCATGTTTCATGAGCTGAAATAAAATATCCTAGACATTTTCTGTACGGACAAAAAGCATATTTCTTTCAAATGTTGCGCACAAATTTCTTTACATCCTTGTTAGTGAGCATTTCTCCTTTGCCAAGATAATCCATCCACCTGACAGGTGTGGCATATCAAGAAACTGTTTAAACAGCATGATCATTACACAGGTGCACCTTGTGCTGGGGACAATAAAAGTCCACTCCAAAATGTGCAGTTTTGTCACACAACCCAATGCCACAGATGTCTCAATGTCTCAAGTTTTGAGGGAGCATGCATTTGGCATGCTGATTGTAGGAATGTCCACCAGAGCTGTTGAATGTTCATTTCTCTACCATAAGCCGCCTCCAATGTCGTTTTAGAGAATTTGGCAGTTGGTCCAACCGGCCTCACAACCGCAGACCACGTGTATGGCATCGTGTGGGCGAGTGGTTTGCTGATGTCTACGTTGTGAACAAGAGTGCCCCATGGTGGCAGTTGGGTTATGGGGCCAGGCATAAGCTACGGACAATGAACACAATTGCATTTTATCTATGGGAATTTGAATGCACAGAGATACAGTGAAGAGATCCTGAGGCCCATTGTCGTGCCATTCACCCGCCGCCATCACCTCAAGTTTCAGCATGATAATGCACGCCCCATGTCGCAAGGATCTGTACACAATTCCTGGAAGCTGAAAATGTCCCAGTTCTTCCATGGCCTGCATACTGACCAGACATGTCACCCATTGAGCATGTTTGGGATGCTCTGGATCGACGTGTTCCAGTTCCCGCCAATATCCAGCAACTTCGCAAAGCCATTGAAGAGGAGTGGGACAACATTCCACAGGCCACAATAAACAGCCTGATCAACTCTATGCGAAGGAGATGTGTCACGCTGCATCAGGCAAATGGTGGTCACACCAGATACTGACTGGTTTTCTGATCCATGCCCCTACCTTTTTAAAAAAGGTATCTGTGACCAACAGATGCATATCTATATTCCCAGTCATGTGAAATCCATAGATTAGGGCCAAATGTATTTATTTCAATTGACTGATTTCCTTATACGAACTGTAACTCAGTAAAGTCTTTGAAATTGTTGCATGTTGCGTTGATATTTTTGTTCAGTATAGAACCACTCAAACACACAGCACAGACAGACACTCTCCTCTCCTACCTGACAGCAAGCTGGACACGATGTCCACAGCCTCCCTGACTGCTGGCTCCAGTCTCTCGCTCTCCACCTGAGACAGGGCGGGGCTCTCCTTCGGAACCCAGGTGTGGATCCTGATTGGCTGTGGAGGGTTTGTGGGTGGAGCCAGCTCTCTTATGTGCTTCCTGTGATGTCTCTGGGGTGAAGAAAGTTGAGGTGCAAATGAAGGAATTTGAACAGAATTAGCTGTGTCCTCTGAAGCAGTAAGTGGAGTCTGTTGCTCAATATTGGCACTGGCCGTCGTCTTAGGGTGAGGTCCATGTTGATCAGCGGGTGTGGTGACCACTGTGACTGACTGCTGAACCTCATCAAAGATACACTTCTCCAGAGCACCAGGGAGCCATATGACCACCACCACCATCCAAACCCTGCTGAGGGAGGGGGGTGAAGGCATAATCATAGCCCCTCCACAGGAGCCGCCCCTCCACAGAAGCCTCATCTGGGGGAGAGATCAAAGAGATCTGTTGGATTGACATGACATCAGCAGTAGATCTAACAGCTACTAGCTTCATCCCGCAACTAGCCATTTAAATTACAATTTATACTAACAATTTATACTTTTACTGTTTCAGATTGCTAATGGTAATTTAAATGGCTAGTTGCAGGACGAAGCTAACATGCTACAAGACAATCCTAAAATAATTGTTTAAAAAAGTGTGGGATTAGAGGTGATTTTGGAGAGAAATCCAAATAAATCTTACATTTACATTTACGTCATTTAGCAGACATTCACCCAGACAACTACTGCATTTCCAGTCAGACAACTACTGCATTTCCACAGTGCATGGACACTATTGTGCAATAATGCTGTAGTTGCCTTAGTAACATTTACTGTATTTCCCCAAAAATGTATAAATGGTGAGCCAATATACAATTGAAGTATCGACTGATGTAGATAATGACACCTGAATTAATCCGAGTCCGACCTGTTTTTCCCAAGAGGAGCCTGTTTAAGACTCTGTGTAACAATAGCCTCTATAACTTTTCTAGACAACTTCATGAAAAGGGCTAAGTCTAAATCAAAGTTTTTCGATTTCCTAGTGCGTCCCCCCCTTGCTACTAGTCATCAAGTGCTGTATAGTGGACCACTGTCGCCTCTGCTCTATTCGTCACAATTGTATCAAAATCTAGCCCATTTGAATGCCCCACTGAATCGGTTCTAATTACCTGGGAATGCAATGTTCAGCCTCGCGCCGACGCCATCAAATATTGAGCACAGATTTTTCTACATTGACATTCCTCAACATATTTATCAGTATTCTTCTGTAAATTGCATGACTTTTCCCCCCGACTCCCTTCAATCTTCTCCTAACTGTGCAAGTTGCAAGCAACCAAACCTCTCTGCACCTTTGACACCCAGGCATTTAAATGTCCTTTGTCATGGCGCCCTGGGGCTCTTTTCAAAAGACTGATGTGACATGTCTTTGATACATTCCCAGAAGACAGAGGACAATGGTGTATAGACCACCTCCTTATCTAAAACTTACACCACTTCTTTACTTTTCCTAACATTGCATTTTACTTCTTCCACCCACACCTCTCTCTCACACACAACAAATAGAGTTAGAGTCCAAATAAAAGTGCAAATTGTTTAATCTCTGAGGATTCGTCCATATCTTTGCCTATGTACAGTGAAATAGACCCTATTTAAATCACTCTCTACAATCTTATTATTAGATTGCAAGTTTTAAACATCATCCAACCACTCCATGTTTAATTGAATACATTCAGTACAACCAGGCAAACAGAACAATTTAAGAAAATAAAATTGAAAGTACATTCCTGGAGGATAAAAGCAAAAAAACATGATATACAAATGACACACTAAAAAGTCGCTTCATTTGCTATTTGTTCATTGTGTCAAAGTGTGGTAGAGTGGGTTCGATTCACAAAGGGGTAAGAATTCAAGTCGAGGTTGTTGTGATTGTGGCCCCTGGGTTGTTGTGACTGTGGCCCCTGGGGACCTCGTCATTCTGTGTGCACTGGACAAGTCTAACCCAACCTCAGACACTGAGAGAGATTGTCTTGTATTGTGAGTCTAGACAATTTGTGTACTAGAGAATTACATTATAAACATTCATACATCACACTTAAGTGCATACATTACACACACAAGTTATGCCATACATACACTAACCAGGAGGGTCCCCCAAAATGATTGCCAGTTTGCAGAATTGACATGGAATTTATCAATGATGAAAGTAATATAAAACAGTCTGTCTGTGAGAAGGTGTTTGTGCCTTTTTGTGTATGTGTATATATATATATATATATATATTTTTTTTTTTTTTTTTTTTTAGTCATTTTTTAGCAGACGCTCTTATCCAGAGCGACTTACATGAGCAATTAGGGTTAAGTGCCTTGCTCAAGGGCACATCGACAGATTTTTCACCTAGTCGGCTCGGGGATTAGAACCAGCATATATATATACACATACACACACTACATGACCAAAAGTATGTGGACACCTGCTCGACGAACACATTCCAAAATCATGGGCATTAACATGGGAGTTGGTCCCCCATTTGCTGCTATAACAGCCTCCACTCTTCTGGGAAGGTTTTCCACTAGATGTTGGAACATTGCTGTGGGGACTTGCTTCCATTCAGCCACAAGAGCATTAGTGAGGTTGGGCACTGATGTTGGGCGATTAGGCCTGGCTCGCAGTCGGCGTTCCAATCCATCCCAAAGGTGTTCGATGTGGTTGAGGTCAGGGCTCTGTGCAGGCCAGTCAAGTTCTTCCACACCGATCTCGACAAACAATTTCGGTACGGACCTCGCTTTGTGCACGGGGGCATTGTCATGCTGAAACAGGAAAGGGCCCTCCCCAAACTGTTGCCACAAAGTTGGAAGCAAAGAATTGTCTAGAATGTCATTGTATGCTGTAGCGTTAAGATTTCCATTCACTGGAACTAAGGGGCCTAGCCCAAACCATGAAAAACAGCCCCAGAACATTATTCCTCCTCCACCATACTTTACAGTTGACACTATGCATTGGGGCAGGTAGCGTTCTCCTGGCACCCACCAAACCAAGATTTGTCCGTCGGACTGCCAGACGGTGAAGCGTGATTCATCACTCCAGAGAACACGTTTCCACTGCTCGAGAGTCCAATGGCGGCGAGCTTTACACCACTCCAGCCGACGCTTGGCATTGCGCATGGTGATCTTAGGCTTGTGTGCGGCTGCTCAGCCATGGAAACCCATTTCATGAAGCTCCAGAAGAACAGTTCTTGTGCTGAAGTTACTTCCAGAGGCAGTTTGGAACTCGGTAATGAGTGTTGCAACCACTTCGCAGCTGAGCCGTTGTTGCTCCTAGACGTTTCCACTTCACAATAACAGCATTTACAGATGACAGGGGCAACTCTAGCAGGGCAGAAATTTGACAAACTGACTTGTTGGAAAGGTGGCATCCTATGACGGTGCCACGTTGAAAGTCACTGAGCTCTTCAGTAAGGCCATTCTACTGGAGATTGCATGGCTGTGTGCTCGATTTTATACACTGGTCAGCAATAGATGTGGCCGAAATAGCCGAATCCACTAATTTGAAGGGGTGTCCACATACTTTTGTATATATAGTGTATTTGTGTGTGTAATCATTCCAATTCTTCATATGCAGGAAGCTTCTAAACAAGGCACTTAAAACGGGGGAGGGATATCATTTCTAATATTATTATTATACATGGGACATCTTCCATTTCCTTACACTGCCGCCCTATAACTCACCCTCATAAATACTAAAACACACGACGTAGTCACACATATGCAGTCACAAAGACAAACTCTTTCATGTGTTAAAAACAAATCATTCACTTGACAGTAGCTGATATGTTAGATCATGAGGATTTGGGAGGAAGATTCTCTGTGCAAAGTTCACCACTTTCAGACTACACACATTCATGACTACACGCACAATCTACACATACGGGGAGGCAGGCACAAATACACTTTCTCAAGGAGGTCCCACACTCAAAAACATAAAAGCATTGAATATTAGATTCCTACAGTCAGTAAAAACCAACCCAATGTAATTCAAAAGGCACTACACCAGCACAGAGAGAGGGAGAGCCTTGCGGTGCTCCTGTGCTTGAGCACTGTGCACATAATTTAGGGAGGGGGGTGTTGGTGGGGTTTGGAAAAGGTCAGGTGTCAAGGGTTAGCAGGGGGACATCATCCTCCGAGGTCATGTCCTCCGAGAAAGGGATAAGCAGCACCTCATCCTCCGAAGAGGAGGAGAAAGAGGGGGATGCGGAGAGGGGCAGGGAGTTGGTGGGGGAGGACGGGGAGGCGCGGAAGCGAGAGATACCGCGCCCCAGAGAGCGGAAGAGCGAGGCTAGGGAGGGGCTGCTGATGGTGGGAGGGGCAGCCACAGGGAAGCTCTGGGGGGAGGCCGGGATAGAGACGAGGGGTGGAGGAAGGGAGGGGGGAGGCGGTGGTTGGTGCGGCACCGTCTGAGGGAGCAAGCCTAGTTTCTGTGGCAACGGCAGATTGACGGCTTCCACAGCCAATGAGGACGTTGCAGGAGTTGATTGACTGGGCTCTACACCAGTAGAGGCGGGATCTGTCTGCTGGGGGGCGGAGCTGGATGGCTGGGAGAGCCTGGAGGCGGGTCTAGGGATTAAGCCCCACCTCCGCATGCGACGGACGGCCCGGCGGACGAATCGGGGCCGGTGACGGCGACGTGGAGAGTTGGCGGTGTCCTGTCTGAGGAGATGGAGGATACCTCTCAGAGTAAGAGAGGAAGACTGATGGGGAAAGAAAGAGGAACACAGAGACCGAGAGAGAGAACAAGAAAAATATTAAAAGCTTGAAATGTAATTTGTTGAATTTGAAAGTGTGCTATACAAATACAATTATTTCTTAACATTATCATTAAAGTTTATGATTTGCGTAAGATCACACCTAGCTTTGAGGGAACTATTAAACAAAGCTACAACACAGTGAACATATTGTTTTAGTACTCCTTCCCTCCTTCAGCGGTCTGCAGCAGCTAAACAGACAGCTCTAGGATCAGGTCACCCCTGTCCGTATAATATTATTCATTATGATCTAAAAGGCTAAACTGATCCTAGATCAGAACTCCTACAGGCCCTAGTGTAACTCAATCTATGAGACCGTGCTCCTGCTGCTACTCTCATAAAGGTGGTCCTCTGTAGCTCAGCTGGTAGAGCACGGCGCTTGTAACGCCAAGGTAGTGGGTTCGATCCCCGGGACCACCCATACACAAAAATGTATGCACGCATGACTGTAAGTCGCTTTGGATAAAAGCGTCTGCTAAATGGCATATTATATTATATATAATGCAGGCTGATGATAATGGAGTCATCCAGTGAAGCTGAACCATCAGTGCCTCTGGTAGGTCAGATATACAAGGCTAGTCACGAAGAGTCAGAGGACCGATGGCTCTACTGAGGAGATTTCAAATAAACTAAGTTAGTGAAGGATTCCCATTGTAAAGGAAGGAAACCAAATAAAGGAAATCTCAAGTCGTCAGTTATTTTAGCCCTTCAATTAATTGTGCTCCAATCACAGAGGGACAAAGTTGCCTTTAGGTTTCTGATCTAAGGTCAGTTTTGCATTTCCCCCCCACTTAAGGTTAGGATTGGGGGACTTTTAGCTGATCCCAGACCTGTTCCGAGGCTCTCACCTCGTTGGGGTTCTCTGTGGGGAAGTCCTCCACTGGAGGGATGATGCCTTGGGCGATCAGCTGACCGTAGGAGGGAGGAGCCTGCTGCTGGATCAGCTCCGCCTCCTGGCGGCTGATTGGAGCAAACATACTGCAGGAGGAAGACAGACAGAAACATATGGGGGTCTGGTCCAACAAGACATTTTGGTTGACAGTGATCTTACTTTTTATTTTGGACACAGATCAAGGGAGGCGTTTGTGGGTGATTTTGATGAAGCATCAACATGAGTAAACTTGACGTGTGAGGTGCATGAGAGATACCTGTATTCTCGGGTGCGCAGTGAGTAAAGCTTGCAGGTGCAGCCCATAGCGATGACCAGCAACAGCCCACAGACCAGGCTGCCAACGGTTGCGGCAGTGATGACCTTCCGAGGCAGGGTCACGGAACAGTTCAGCTCGTCTGTCCCGTCCTTACAGTCCACCTGGCCGTCACAGCGCCAGCTCTCAAACACACACCTGGGGAAGAGACAAACGGTCAAGATGGCGTATTCACTTACACACACATCGAAACACACTACGCATGCACCCCCACACACACCATCCTCTACCTGTCACTGTCGCAGTGGAAGGTCCCAGGTTGACATATAGAACAGTCTCTCTCGTCGCTCCCGTCAGAACAGTACAGCTGGTAGTTACACCTCTCCTTGGCAGGGAAACACACCGGACGCCCTATGAAGTTATGCCCCGCCAGCACCGCCCTCTGCCCAGCCCCTCCACAGGCAAACTGGTCCCGGGGGCACCCCCTGCACCCCGCTTCGTCATGCCCCGTCTCGGGACAGTCCCAGTGCCCGTCACACTTCTGTTCCTGGGTGTAGCAGCCCCCCGCGGCACCCCCACATTTACCTTCCCAGGGGGGGCAGTAGCCCCCGACACGGTAGGTGGCATTGAAGCCCAGCCCCTCTGAGCCGGGGAGCGTACGATAGGTCAGGGACAGGAGGCCGGTCTGGGATTCAACCTGGATGGCCTTGTAATTGGACGCATTGGTGATCTGTCACAGATGGAAAGGGAGGTGATTAGATTGAGTAAATTAACTTGGGTAAATTAACTTTCCAAGAACTTTCAGAGGTAGAAAAGTTTAACCACAGATTTAGGATCAGACCACCCTACTCCCAATGAATAAAAAAATATCTGACTTTGTTTCAGTTTATTAGGGGCAATGTCTACCCAACTCCATTATGCACATACACACCCCCTCACACTCACAGTTTTGATGAGTTCCCCAGTGCCCTGCTGTCTGTTAGTGATGGTGACCGTGTCTCCAGGCCCCAGCTCCAGCAGCCGCAGGTCCAGCTTCAGAGGCCTGGAGTCCTGGGGGTCCAGGGTCCACACACAGAACAGAGGGGGGCCCCTGATGGAAGGAGGGGCGAACGTCCCATAGAAGGTCTGGAGGAGGCCCCCGCAGGTGATGACCTTGGGGGGCAGGGTCACGGTGCAGTTCAGCTCGTCTGTCCCGTCCTTACAGTCCAGCTGGCCGTCACAGCGCCAGCTCTCAAACACACACCTGGGGCAGAGGCACAAACAGTCCAGGTGGCGTATACACACACACATCGAAACACACCACACGTACATCACATCGATACTACACTAACACACACATCAAAGCTCACTAACATACATTAATGCATGCACACAGGGTTTTTTCTGGATCAAAAGGGGGCTTAGGTGGTGGGCACGGTAGGGGGAGTGGCAATGGGCGCAGTGAATTTGAGATCATTTTTTGGAGACTCACATCTTGGCGATGTAGAGACATTTTTAAGCAGATGTCCTGCAATTCTACACATTTATCCATGGAGTTGAGAGAAATTTGCCATGGCTAATGCTGTGTTCTTTTGCTCAAACCTAATCAAATCAATACTGCTACATTCTTGCTTCTGGAATTTTCTATTATCTTTTATTTGGGTGATTGTTAGATCTCAAAGATCCTATTCTGTAAAACAATATATAGGTCCATTATCTTTTCTACACTTGTTTTTGGTCGTTTAAGTTTACACAAAGCGCTTTTCCAACCAGAAAATACATGAAAGCGATTTATAATTAGTAAAGAATTACACTGTTTGGATTTACGCGTCCTGAAAAAACGCTTAGGCGGCACGCCCAATATCTCAATGGCAGAAAAATCCCTGCACACACACCATCCTCTACCTGTCACTGTCGCAGTGGAAGGTCCCAGGTTGACATAGAGAACAGTCTCTCTCGTCGCTCCCGTCAGAACAGTACAGCTGGTAGTTACACCTCTCCTTGGCAGGGAAACACACCGGACGCCCTATGAAGTTATGCCCCGCCAGCACCGCCCTCTGCCCAGCCCCTCCACAGGCAAACTGGTCCCTGGGGCACCCCCTGCACCCCGCTTCGTCATGCCCCGTCTCGGGACAGTCCCAGTGCCCGTCACACTTCTGTTCCTGGGTGTAGCAGCCCCCCGCGGCACCCCCACATTTACCCTCCCAGGGGGGGCAGTAGCCCCCGACACGGTAGGTGGCGTTGAAGCCCAGCCCCTCAGAGCCGGGGAGCGTACGATAGGTCAGGGACAGGAGGCCGGTCTGGGATTCAACCTGGATGGCCTTGTAATTGGATGCGCTGGTGATCTGTCACAGAGGGTAAGGGAGGGGGAAGAGGATGAAGTGATTAGATTGAGTAAATTTAAAAACTTGGGTAACTGAACAGTCTTGTGACACATGACAAACTCTAGAGGTAGAAGTTGGCTTTCACCACAGATCAAGAATAAGACAAGCCTACTTCCAATCCTAGGGGAATTAAATGATATCTGACCCCATATCAGTTTATAAAGGGGCCACTTTACCTAACTCTAAGACACAAACACACCACAGGCACACTCACAGTTTTGATGAGTTCCCCAGTGCCCTGCTGTCTGTTAGTGATGGTGACCGTGTCTCCAGGCCCCAGCTCCAGCAGCCGCAGGTCCAGCTTCAGAGGCCTGGAGTCCTGGGGGTCCAGGGTCCACACACAGAACAGAGGGGGGCCCCTGATGGAAGGAGGGGCGAACGTCCCATAGAAGGTCTGGAGGAGGCCCCCGCAGGGCCACTCGATGGGGGCCCGGTTCACACTGGGGTGGGCTCGGTGAGGCTGGGGGCTGGGGAGTCTACGAGGCTGGAACTGCCAGAAGTCATCTATAGGATTAGCTGGCTCCTTTTCCTTGGTGTGGTCCCCATCAGCGTTTACTTCCTTCTCTGTCTTCTCCTCCTCTTTCTCCAGCTCGCCCGGTGCCTTCCCTACCGTTTCCCAATCCCTCGCTCTGCTGTTACTCCCCCTGTTCTTCTCCCTTTCTGTCTCCCTCTCCCGGTAGGACTCTGGTGTGGCGGTGGCCACCACTGTTTTGCTGTGCTCAGGATCCAGGTTCAGGATCTTAATCTCTCCATTACAGTCCTGCTCGTCTATGCCCACCCCTTCACCGAGGCACTCCACCCGGCCGTTACAACGCCACGACAAGGGCAGGCAGCGCCCGCCCAAACACTCAAAGTCCACCGCCGTACAGTCACCGGAGTCTAGAGAGAGAGGAGTGGCAGGGAAAGTACGAGAGAGGGAGATGAACTGGGGTTAAATAGAGTTAAAACTAGTCTACTATGTCATTTGTCATGATTAACAAGTGATATAGCCTAACATCACGGCACCATACCTCGGACGTAGCCCAGGCGGAACGCAGACACAGGGAATAAGTGTGGCAGGAAGTGGTGCGTCACTGTAATGTTTCCCCCCATCAACTCCATGGGTTTTGGCAGGTTGGAACCACAGAGGGTAATGGGCTTGCCAGTCGACGATGTCACCGAGACCCATTCCTTCTTACACCGTGTGGAAAACTGGGAGAAACTGAAAGAGCAACGGGAAAAAGAGATAACAAAGAAGTAAGCAAACAATCCAAAAACGTCCTTATTTGGCTATGAAGCCATTTTCCTTTACATGATGTGACCTTTCTAAAGTCCAGTCCGGACACAACCCCTACGGCGTACCCCCCAGGCACTTCATGTAGATCTGAAAGTATTGGATAAGTATAATTAAACAACATGATAGTAGCTCCACCTTGTCCACTGACAGGCTGGGCAGACTCTTCCTCTAATTGCTTACACCTAGCTAATCCCTTCAGATGTACACTAGTGCCAAGAAGGTTAAGGACTACACTAGAAGTTGTTTCGGGACAAACGTCGATGCACCCTGATCCACCGAATAAGCCCCTAAGACAGCGGTAAGACAGCGAGTGGGTAGACATTACCTGAGAATAACAGGCTCTCCTACATGTGCCTTGATAATCCAACTACAGTTGAACGGCCGCGGGCGGTAGGACCAGCTGTGGTGCACAGAGCTTCTGATCTCTCCTCTCGCAGCCTCCAGGACTTGGGGAGGTCGTCCACAATGAGCTGGGAGAGAGAAGGACCCTACAGTATGTTAGACTTCTGGGTTGTGTTAAGTAGGAAGAAAACGGGCGTGGAACAGGGAGGTGCTACCTAAGAACACATGTTTTAATTTTTCTGTTGCAAAACTTTTTTGCTACGGTGTTCCTTGTCTGATTAATCAGGCTGTAATTCACAATTAATTGGTATATACAGCCTGAAACATTGGAGTGCAAAATCGTGTAAAAGAACCGGAGATGCCACCGCTGATTGTCAATTACAGTTGAGACTCCCACGCCTACTCATGTTGATCACATAACTATGAGTATTGTGTAAAACTGGTGAGAGGCAGATGGGTCCCTTTGATATCATGAATAGAGACATTAGCAAGAGATGGGGGGGGTTAGTTCTCTTACCAGTACTGGAAGCCAGCTCTAGGCTGCTGTATGCTGTGAATCAACAGGCAAAACAGAGTTATAGAGGTCTGAATAGGGCATTACAAAAGATCTGACTAGTATTTGCATACGGTACAGTTGACACTAGATACTGCTTACAAAATACAAGATTTACATTTTAGTCATTTAGCAGACGCTCTTATCAAGAGCGACTTCCAATTAGTGAGTGCATAGTTTACAATACTTGTTGGCCTAAAGCAGGGCTCTCCACCCCTGTTCCTGGAGAGCTACCCTCCTTTAGGTTTTTGTTTCAACCCCAGTTGTAACTAACCTGATTCAGCTTATCAACCAGCTAATTATTAGAATCAGGTGTGCTAGATTAGGGTTGGAGCGAAATTTACAGGACGGTAGCTCTCCAGGGACAGGGTTTGAGAACCCTGGCCTAAAGTATTGTGCTTTACCACCTGACATATCGACCAACAGACCAACAGGCAGATAGATAGGTCACATTCAAAGTAAAACTCACCAGTTACAAACAAAATGTTGATGACACAAAGGTTGAAAGAGACAGTCATTCTGATGGTGCTCCTCTGAAATGCGGGTGCTCATGAAAGACCAAAAATTGTGAAAGGAAACTAGAATGGAAAAACATCTAGGCAGATCCCTCAGTTCGCCTTGCTGAGTGGCCCCATCGTTGCTAATGTCTCGTTCAGGAAGACTTCACCTGAGAAAATAAAAAGACCAAACCTAATCAGCAAAAATTGCTATTTTGACTAGCCTGGTACCAGGTCTTGCCAAGTTCTATAGCCATTGACACACCAAACAAATGAACATAAGTGTTGGCAAGACAGCACAAAAAGATCTGGGACCAGGGTATAGTTTTAGAGGAACCGGCGGGAATTACTTTCAGAAACATAGCTACAGAACTTGCTTAAGCCTTTACTTATGACAGCAAGACATCTGAAGTTGTTCGCTTAAGGTATGTGTTGTGTTGAAGGTTATGGTTATCTGTTTTTATCAAGAACACAATGTTTACATCAGTGGAGGCTCCTCAGAGGAGGAAGGGGAGGACCATCCTCCTCAGAGAATTTCAGAAAAACAAAAATTTTAAACTTTTTAGATAAAACTATACTAAATATATTCACGTGTCACCAAATAATTGATTAAAACTCACTATTTTGCAATGAGGGTCTACAGTAGCCTCAGCAGCATTCTGTAGGGTAGCACCATGGTGTAGCCGGAGGACAACTAGCGTCTGTCCTCCTCTGGGTACATTGACTTCAATACAAAACCTAGGAGGCTCATGGTTCTCACCCCTTCCAAAGCCTTACACAGTAATTATGACAAACTTCTAGAGGACGTCAGAGCTCTTGCAGCATGAACTGACATGTTGTCCACCCAGTCAAAGGATCAGAGAATGAATCTAGTACTGAAAGCATTAGCTACAACTAGCTAGCACTGCATAAAATGTGGTGAGTAGCTGACTCAAAAGAGAGAGGAAGACAATAGTTGAACAGTTTTTAACAAATTAATTTATTCCAAAATTAAGGAGAAGCGAGAGAGAGCTAGCTATATTTCGTAGTATATTTTTTTTCACTTTCACTTACTTAGCGTTGAATGCAGCTAGCTAGTTTAGCCTACTCAAACACCTGGCTCAAACAGAGAGGGATGCTATGTTTGCTAGCTGGCTATCCAACACTGGAACTCTTCTAAGGCAAGGTAAGCTTTTGATTTTATTAATTTATTGCCGCCGGGGCCCACCGGTGTAACTGCTAAACTGCTTGCTGCTCACTGTTCACTGTACTGCATGATTGTAGTGGGTTTACTAACGCAGTTCTAGTTGCTATGTTGACTATGACGTGACAACGATGTAGGCTGTGTGTAGCGGTTAGCAATCATGATATGAAGGTTTGGCTTGGAAAGGTTTTTTCGTCTGGTCACAGACAGCTGATGTGTTGTGCACTGAAATCCACAAGTGAAGGGAAACAGTGAGCGGAGGAGAGCGCGTAAATAGATGCGAGAAGGAATTATATATACAACGAGCTGTTTGTATGTTGCTGCTATGAAAGTGAACTGTGTTTGCGTTTGATCAGGGGTGTATTCATTGCACCGATTCTGTTAAAATATTTCTTATCCGGAACGGAGATAAACATACCTCATTTTGGCCAACTGTTGGACTAATGATTACACCCTAGATCAGCTAGATGCAAGCAAGAGTGTGTAAGGTGGTATTGAATGTGTCACGGTCTGTCACCTTGATTACTCAAAGTTCTCTTGACCTGTGCACCTACGTTGTAAACTTTAATTCATTGGCTAGGTTGTAGCAACCTCATGATGGGTAATGGGAAACGTTGAGTATCATGTAGTCGCCTTAAACCTATCGATGTTACATTGAGCTGGGTGAATGGAATATGAATGACAGTGATCCAATATGCTGTAATATAAATAAGGCTATGTTCATAAAATAAAATAAACATCCTCCCTCATCTTAAACGGCACCGACAGCGACTGGTTTAATTTTATACACAGCCATGTCCTGCCTTGCCAGTAACGTTGGCTAGCTAGCTAAATGACGTCGCTAACTAACCTTATGCTGTATGATTTACCAGCAAGCTAATCCTAAACACAAAAATGGTTGCGCTTTTCAATATCAACTTTATTTTCTGTGTCATTTTAATTCTAGATGAGGCGAAATTATTTACAGACTTTCTAGACCTTCTCAATATTTGCCCCCGCAAACTTCCTTGAAGAGGAAGGGATTCATTACGCCGATTCTTTTCGTCTGTTGCAAAACGTTTTGTACACAAACCGTTTACTCCAAAAGGAAACGTTTTCCAACGAAAACGAGAGTTTCTATTGGACAAATTCAGCTAGGTCCCTCCCCGTTTCGTGCCATTTGTTCAGTTTGGTTCTTAAACGATAAACTGTTTACATTACAGGACGTAATGAATACATCCCTGCTTCGCTCTCTCGCCTTGTTGCGTCTAATGCAAGCTCTGACTAACTACCCTCTTCCTTTCCTCATGTTTTCCTGGAAGTGCCACGCGATAAAAAGGCATTCAAATATACATAAACACTGATGTACAGATTAATTCAAAACGGTGATAAATTGTGTATATAAATGCCTGTAACAACTAAATTAGCAACCTTACCCTTTCTGTCGTCTTTCTTGTTGATAGGCAGAGTTCTGGCCAACTTCCGTATTGTTTACTTGAACAGGAGAGGGGGTGGGGCTAGAAACTCAGACTGAGGCTTCGGCTGTCACAACGCCCCAAACAAACTCCAAAGTTAAAGAACCAAACCAGTTCACGATAATTTTGATCTGATTTAACATCAAATGTTACTTGCTCCTCTAATCACGAATTCGTTTCAATGGTGATTCTATCGACAGTTTTGGATGAATTTAAGTTATCATGTTTCACCACCAGGTGTCGGAATTGAGTAGGCTAGTGAGATGATCCCTCAAATGGGGTATACCACAGTGGAATTGTATTATAGCAGACGGCCTTGCATTCGAGAATACAGTGTAACATTATTTGCATTAGTACGTTTTATAATCAGCAAGGTAACATGCATTTGATGCATTTCGTCAATGGACTGAGACAAAGTGGATTAAAATCAAATTACTACTAAATTGTCTGCCTAACTTGTTCTTGTAGTTATTTTTGATAGTTTACACTATCCTGGGCTGTTGTTTTTTATTTATTATGATAAATGAATGTTCATATTTATACGGCCGCAGCGTCTACTGCTGTTTCTTTACCTCACTGAGATAGGCTTCACACATCTGGGTGATCGAGGAACTTTCTCTCAATTCAATTCAATGGGCTTTATTGGCAAGGGAAACATATGTTTACATTGCCAAAGCAAGTGAAACAGATAATAAACAAAAGTGAAATAAACAATAAAAAATGAACAGTAAACATTACACTCACAAAAGTTCCAAAGGAATACAGACATTTCAAATGTCATATTATGGCTATATACAGTGTTGTAACGATGTGCAAATAGTTAAAGTCTCTCTCTCTCTCTATCTATTTGTCTGTTGTAGGACTTTTGCCGCGTTCACGTACTAGTTGGAACTAGGAAACTCGGAAATGTCAGATTTGCTAACTGGTTGTAGTTATACATGTGCCGCGTTCAACGAATCAGCAAGTCGGACATTACAGAGTCTCCTTGTTCCGACTAGCATATGAATGCAGCATTTAGCTCAGGGCACTGACCATCCAAGTCGACACGTCAGAGAGCGATGTCAATATAGAGGGAAATAAAGAAAATAATTTGGGATGCCGTTAAAGTTAAGAAGACAACAGCTAGCCATGACATATTGGGTACATTTACAAGGTTACACATCCTACAAAAAAGGTGAATACAAGCTTTGGGTGGATAGGCAATTGCATAGCGAGAGAGATGGGGTTGTTTGGGAGGGAGTTTAGCCCCTCTGTGAAACTCTTGTTCCTGCTATCCCACCTTGGTTTCTCCCTCAGCCAGTGGTAGATCTAGGCTTGCTTGAGAGGGTAAGATATGTTGAGGAAGGAGTAGATTCAGTTGTAAGTGAACATTTAAGAACACAATACTATGTTTCTTGAATATATTCACAGATGGATCTAAGGACCCTAAAACAGGGAGGACAGGAGCAGCTTTTAGTGTTCCTGAGTTTAAGGTGGCAGTGACGAAAAGAGCAACAGATCATTTATCTGTTTACACAATGGAGATGTTGGCCATACTATTGGCTGCAGAGTGGGTGGAGGAGGTGAGGCCATACAGGGTAGACATCTGCTCTGACTCCTTGTGCAGCACTGATGAGCTTAAATTAATGTGTGTCTCAGAGCAGACAGGATGTATTGTATGAGGTTTTGCAGTGTTTTTATATGTAGTAGTGTGATGTTGTTCCCCTAGATTATGCACCAAGTTGCACACAAGGACAGGTCAAGAGGTAATAATTCAATGTGTTTTCTTTATTTAATTACAGCTGCATAGCTAATGTTATTTTTTGGTGTACACACATTTTTATATATCTATATTGTAAATACACCTAATTGTAAAAGTTTTGTATATTTTGGTTTGGTCCATCGCGGGTTATCTGTACTTACGTACCCTCTTATTGTTTAATTTTGCCTGACCTTCAACTAGCAAGGTATGTTGTCCTTGGCGCCGTAATTTGTCAATATAAAACTGTGGTAAAGTTACACAAAGTGCTGTTACGCAACTATAGGTTTGGTTACAATGTGGACAATATAAATAATTATGTTAACAACTTTCACCGAGCTCGCTAACTAGGGTACCTATTGTAACTCTGGATAAGAGCGTCTGCTAAATGACGTAAATGTAACTCGGGAGTATTTCTATGTGCTCACGCAGGTGCCCGAGAGTTGTGACTGCACCAAGGGCTAACATATTGTGTGTTGTCTCTTCGTGTGCAGGTCGAATACAAATTATCCAACCATCTGAATTCCAGTTGTGGCAGTGTCCTAATTAAAAGTACACAACGCAGAACGAACCACGCTACATATAGGGTGAAACAGATGGGGTATTTGTGATGTTCCTCTGGGTACCAGCTCATGTGGGAGTAGAGGGGAATGAGGAAGTGGATATTATTGCCAAGCAAGCTCTTAAACATCCTAATGTTGAGATGGAATTGTCAATCAGTAAAGCACAAACCAAGGGATTAATAAGAACAGTGGTTAAAAAACAAGTGGCAAGAGTTGTGGAACAGGGACAGTAAGGGAAGACATGTGTATAAGATCCAGGAAAAGGTGGGGGCAGGGAGGTCCTCAGGCCGAGAGAGAAGGGAGACAAGTGTAGTCACAAGGCTGAGACTGGGACACACAAGGCTAAATATTACATTGAAAGTGGTGGGGAAACATCCTACTTGGAGGTGTGATCATTGTCGGGAGGAGATGGAGACAGTGGAACATGTTCTATTTCAGTGACAGAAATATGTGAGAGAAAGGGAGCGATTGTTATTAGATGTTAGGAGTAATGGGGTTGAAGAGCCAGGATTAAGTGAACTGCTGGGGAAATCTTCAGGGGATGTAGAATTTAATTATGTATTTCGTTTCCTTAGGGAGACGAGATTATTGGCTAGGATTTAGACCTTCCCTGTCTCTGGTCCACACTCCAGTCCAGTTGGTGGCGGTAATGCACCTTAAAGTTGGTTGCCAACCGCCATATAAAATCCACAGAAGAAGAAGAAGAACATAATTTGGGGGGACAAAGGAGAGAGGAACTATGAAGCGCTGAGATTGCAGCGATTTCCCCCCCAACATCTGGACTTGAGTTTTTGAACAGATTTGTAGGATATTTTTTTACATGTATTTATGATTTTTGCTACCACAAAGGATTTGTTGTGCAGAACTTGAAGTGTTGCAAGAAAGTATCCATGAGGACAGATTAGTGGCATATTGTTTTGTTTTTTAAAGATCATCCCGACGGATTATAATTGATAACGTGGAAAACCAATAGAAGCAATCCCGTTGTGAGGTTGTCTATATCTCCTCTTTTTTGGGTAACTCGCACATATAGAGGAATGTTACCCCGGCTTGAGAAGGTGATCCAAATCCTGACGCTGACGTGCGGACTGTTCTTTGGAGTTGTATCAACGGAAAACGAAGTAAAAGCTGAGGTAAATCATTACGACAACATGCATAAACTCAGAAACTCTTTAAAAACTCTCTGAAAGTATAATAAGACAGACATTGCTTAAGGTTTATACGAGAAACGTGGGAGTATATAACTAATATGTGTTATTGCCAATAGTGTCTACAGTTTCTGTACCAATCTTCATAATTGGCACTATTTTCATGATGGGGTGGTATGATCTCTAAATTGAGGGCAATTGAGAGTCAAGGTTAAAACCAGTGAAAATGTCAGTAGAATCTGAAAAAGAGATGAAACTGCAAATAATAGTTAGAAAAATAACATGACTCTAATTGTGGTTTAAAAGAGGGAGAAGTGAGAGGGTTGGGGGAGTACAGAGTTGTGAAAACTTAAGTCAGCTGCTTTGTTCTAAGAAACTGGGGCTGTGGTGTGTGTGTGGGGGGGGGGGGGGGTAATGGTTTTCATCTGTACTGACTTATGGTAGAGAGAGACTGGAGAGGAAGCTGTTCTCTCTTTTAGCAAACTGGACATGAAGACTCTGTCTGGAGTAACAGAGGCATCATACCCATTGTAACTGATGGGGCACTACTAAATTATAGCCTACACAAACACTATATTTTGTCACACTATATTGTATCATGGTGTCCCTTCAAAGTTATTAGGTGACATGATGCCTCTTGCCTGGGGTAATTCTAGATCTGTTCTTCAGGAATTCCAGATCTCTCTTATCTATCCATCACAGTGTGCTTTTGGATACATCCAAAACCATCAAGAATAACCAATATTAGCCATGACTGAAATAACCAAGTCAAAGGTATCCAATGGTGCTCATGCATTTCTCCTAGTCTTTTCAGTGTTGGCCCTCCCTGGCCTACACCTAGAGGTTGTTCTTACTAAGAAAGACAGGATGCTTGGAGGAACTCAGGTCCTGACTCAGTGACCACAAACAGCTGGTGTCTGAGTCAGCCAGACATGATGGACGTCCGAAATGCCACCCTATTCTTTATGTAGTCAGCCAGACATGGTCAACCAGTCAGAAATGCCTGGGAAACTGTCCGTTTGAGGCCACAGGTTAGTGGACCAATCAATACAACATCTATAACCCTGTGATAATAGCGTAATAACTGCACACACAACACTGAGACAGTAATAAAGCGTACACAGTGTCACAATAAGACTGCAGATGTTGATGCTGGGTCCATGACAGATCTAGGATCCGTTTACCCATCCCAAATCCTACCCATAATGCCACCCAAAGGCCCATACAATTTGCCCATGCTCCTACGGGAGTAGGCAGATTACCCAACCCCAAATCCCAATGAATGCCATAAGCAAGATATGGAAAGATCTGACCCTGGAACAGCAGTTGAGGGCAACTTCTACCTACTCTGCTCATGTGCGCCCATAGCAGCCATGATGGAAGATGGGATTATCACTAATTACCGGTTTCTGGCTTACATCACCTGTGTCTAGTACACTGTATGTAACGGGAACCGATGATAAACACGATGTCTGTTGTGTGGGAGGGATAAAAGAACAGAGTGCGAGAGTGAGGAATAGGCTAAGTAATGGATAGGGTTGAGACGAGATGATGGGATGTTGATTTTATGCTGACAAATACCGATTAACGGTATGAAAGCACAGAACTAAGTAGGAGTGGAATTTTCTGACATTCCTTTTAGTGATTTAGTATTAAGTCACTGCCGGCTGAGTCCAACTTGATAGGCCAGGGAGGCTAAGCCTACAATTTCACTTAAAGCTGTGATGAGTGAGGAGAATGGCTAAGCAAGTATTCACAGTCATAGGGCTCTCTTAAGATCGGCCTGTGCTTTTTGAAATGGGATAGCAACAAAAAGAGATACATCGCAAAATATCCCTTTACTCTATATATGTACAATACTTTGTGCACATACTATAAATCCAATAAAAAACCCTCCCTTAATTTAGATTTATTCACTTTTATTTACAAAAACACCTTGTCTCACATTTATAAAATTGCTGGTTGGACTTTATCTTAGCCAAAGGAAGTGGAAAGAAATGAAAATGAGACGATCCATTTCACAGATCTCCACAACATATCTGTCTGAATCTGAAAGTCCTTGAAGTTTTCTTCAAACACGATAACAGCAGACATCTGGAGGCAAGGTGACTAGTGTGTCTTGGGATCACAGGGAGGGAGGAGATCATGCCAGGGGTCCAATTCCATGGGGGTTGGGCCCATATAAATATAAATACTAGAATGGGAATACATTCTCAGACCACATTGTGGGTACCATAGAAATAGAATGAATAGTTTTATTTCTATGATCGGTATACTCAATATTGCTGCCGATCCACCCATCACAGAGCATTCACTTGAATGGGAATGTCTGCTCTAGTAATTATATTTCTATGGTTAGGCCTTCCCTCTAGCTCCTGAGGAGTCTGGGTTGTTTTTGTATGGTGGAAGCACACTGTTGGAAAAGTGCTGGTGCATGCTGTTCTACAAGTGCTTGCTGTCACTTAAAAATGTTCAGGCAGGAAAAGATTCAGTTCATCTGATCTGCCACAGCGCAAACAAACCAACCGATGGATGTCTATGGAGAGATGGTGTGTTTATCCATTCCACTCAAGTGCTATCCCTGCAGTTTTCATCCTAGAATCCAGTATTTGTATTACAGTAAACATAGGATTTAGCCTTCGTGACCCAGATGATTAAGGGATGTGTAACTTTCCCTTTGAAGACAATTCGATATGTATCTAGATACATGGGCTCCAATATGATACAGGAACAATATGTTTTGGTGTGATTCGGTTTGATTAGAGAATGAATCAATTCGATGCGATACAATTCGATGCATAAACACAGTAATTTTCCATTCTAAATTAAAATCTGTTGCTAATATGAGCTGGGCCTTTCTGAGCTGGATCTGTCTGAGCTGACTTTTGTGTGCGTGTGTGTGTGAAATATGTCTATGTCTATGGTGTATAGGCACCTGAGCTGAGCCATAACGAAAACTGGGAATCTACCCCCCCCCCTAATTAATGTGTCCGTTTTGCAGATTAAAAGTATTAGAGCTCGTAATGTATCAATATTTATCTTTCAAAATTAGCTATGACATAGCCAATATAGCACAACTTTGTGTAACCCCCGTTTTCACCCCCGTCTCATAATCGAATGGTTTAGACTGTTTGGAAGTTGATGGACTCGGAGTGAGTTGCTCTTCTTATCCTGCTTCGACCATGAAGTGCAGGTTAAAAAAAAGGGTAGACGTGCCAGATCAGGAATAGGCCCACCTCTCGTTGGTCGGAGCACGCAAAACTGCGCACAGCAAGCAGTTTGACTAGGCTACTGATATTGCCTGGGGTTCTTTGGCATGCAAAGTGACTTGTAGATCAATGACTGTCAACATAATTACATGCTTAGTTCGACACTGAAGGAGAGAGAGGATGCAGTTGTCACAAAAGATGAGAGGTATTTTCGGAAGGTAGAAAGAAATGTGAATAGCCGATTCTTAATGTTTTAATCGATTTTCTGACGGGTGCATGCTACATTTGGATCGGTTTGGGGTCCCCCGGACCTATACACTCATATCTTAAACATTTAACCAGGGACCGATGCATATCGGTGAATCGTTACATCCATATATGAACCCAAGTTGGAAATTGAGGCTCATAAACTGGCATTGAAACAATATGTGTATAGGACACCTAAGGTTGTGTTGTGTGTTATTGTGTAGACTGGAGCCATGTGCAAGCTAGCATCCACTGTTGACTCGGCCTACTTCGCCACTTGAGGGGTAGGCTTGATAGTAGCCAAGTGTATTATTATGTTATAAATGGACGTTCCTTTAGCATAGAACTCAGGTATCCTGCATTGTATTAAGCGTGTATATACAGTAACAGTACTTTAGTTAGCATTAGCATGTAGCGCTGGTTCAGGTGTAAATGGGTCAGAGACGTGGGACGCCACGCTAGCAGGCCAGGGAGGCTAATGTGTGTCTCAGACTGAGCCGCTCATGACCAAACTCTGGTCTCTGTTTTTTCCGTTGGCACCGTCCAACGGGAACAACTGACTCAGTCTACTCTTTCTCCCTCAATTTAAAATGAAACATTAATACTCATGTCCCCTATTTTCGGACCCTTTTTTTACCCATTTTTTCTCACTTTCCTTCATTGTCGTTCCATACGTCAATCCCATTTAATGTTTTATTTTCCTTTTCTCTGTTTTTTTCTTCTCTCTCTCTCTCTCTCAGCGTCAGTGAACTATTAAAAAAGAGAGTAGGAAAAGATACCACTAATTCCACTGCCTAAAGAAAACCAGATCCACTATGAAAGACGTGTGGACTGAGAGGGCTGAAGACAGCTCTTTTCAGTTTGCTTGAAACCCAAATATCTGCAGTATCTTCACACATGGCAGAATTGCTTCTAGCTAAATACCTTGTGGTAGGTTGCTATGCAGTTTATAGCCTACAGACACATTATTACATCACTAACTCAAATCAAATCACATTTTATTTGTCACATAAACGTGTTTAGCAGATGTTATTGCGGGTGTAGCGAAATGCTTGTGCTTCTAACAATTTCACAACATATACCCAAAACACACAAATCTAAGTAAGGAATGGAATTTAAGAATACAGTTGAAGTCGGAAGTTTACATACACTTAGGTTGGAGTCATTAAAACCTGTTTTTCAACCACTCCACACATTTCTTGTTGTCACGATCGTTTATAGACGGCACGGACCAAGGCGCAGCATGATATGCATACATGTTTATTTACGAATAAACACAATGACAAAACAATAAACGATACGTGAAGTCCAACGCAACGCAACACAACACAACTCAACACGGAACAAGATCCCACACCCCACTAGTGCCAATAGGCTGCCTAAGTATGGTCCCCAATCAGAGACAACGAGCTACAGCTGCCTCTGATTGGGAACCACACCAGCCAACATAGATCTACACATACTAGATCGAAACATAGAAAATCAACATAGCAAAACACAACACAGAAAATACACACCCTGACTCAACAAATACGAGTCCCTTGAGTCAGGGCGTGACACTTGTTAACAAACTATAGTTTTGGCAAGTCAGTTAGGACATTTACTTTGTGCATGACACAAGTAATTTTTCCAACAATTGTTTACAGACAGATTATTTCACTTATAATTCACTGTATCACAATTCCAGTGGGTCAGAAGTTTACATACACTTAGTTGACTGTGCCTTTAAACAGCTTGGTAAATTCCAGAAAATGATGACATGGCTTTAGAAGCTTCTGATAGGCTAATTGACATCATTTGAGTCAATTAGAGATGTACCTGTGGATGTATTTCAAGGCCTACCTTCAAACTCAGTGCCTCTTTGCTTGACATCATGGGAACATCAAAAGAAATCAGCCAAGACCTCAGAAAAACAATTGTAGACCTCCACAAGTCTGGTTCATCCTTGGGAGCAATTTCCAAATGCCTGAAGGTACCACGTTCATCTGTACAAACAATAGTACGCAAGTATAAACACCATGGGACCACGCAGCCGTCATACCGCTAAGGAAGGAGACGCGTTCTGTCCCCTAGAGATGAACGTACTTTGGTGCAAAAAGTGCAAATCAATCCCAGAAAAACAGCAAAGGACCTTGTGAAGATGCTGGAGGAAACAGGTACAAAGGTATCTATATCCACAGTAAAACAAGTCCTGTATCGACACAACCTGAAAGGCTGCTCAGCAAGGAAGAAGCCAATGCTCCAAAATCTCCATAAAAAAGCCAGACTACGGTTTGCAACTGCACATGGGGACAAAGATCATACTTTTTGGAGATATGTCCTCTGATCTGATGAAACAAAAATAGAACTGTTTGGCCATAATGACCATCGTTATGTTTGGAGGGAAAAGGGGGTGGCTTGCAAGCTGAAGAACACCATCCCAACCGTGAAGCACGGGGGTGGCAGCATCATGCTGTGGGGGTGCTTTGCTGCAGGAGGGACTGGTGCACTTCACAAAATAGATGGCATCATGAGGAAGGAAAATTATGTGGATGTATTGAAGCAACATCTCAAGACATCAGTCAGGAAGTTAAAGCTTGGTCGCAAATGTGTCTTCCAAATGGACAATGACCCCAAGCATACTTCCAAAGTTGTGGCAAAATGGCTTAAGGACAACAAAGTCAAGGTATTGGAGTGGCCATCACAAAGCCCTGACCTCAATCCTATAGAACATTTGTGGGCAGAACTGAAAAAGCATGTGCGAGCAAGGAGGCCTACAAACCTGACTCAGTTACCCCAGCTCTGTCAGGAGGAATGGGCCAAAATTCACCCAACTTATTGTGGGAAGCTTGTGGAAGGCTACCCGAAACGTTTGACCCAATTTAAACGCAATGCTACCAAATACTAATTGAGTGTATGTAAACTTCTGACCCACTGGGAATGTGATGAAATAAATAAAAGCTGAAATAAATCATTCTCTCTCTACTATTATTCTGACATTTCACATTTTTAAAATAAAGTGGTGATCCTAACTGACCTAAGACAGGGAATTTTTACTAGGATTAAATGTCAGGAATTGTGAAAAACTGAGTTTGTATTTGGCTAAGGTGTATGTAAACTTCCGACTTCAACTGTATATACATATATGGACAAGCAATGACAGAGCGGCATGGAATAAGATACAGTAGAATATTATAGAATACAGTATATACAGTTGAAGTCGGAAGTTTACATACAATTTACTGAATTAATACAATAAATGTTTTTTTCACTTCACTGTCACGAGGGGGGCCGCTAAAATGTTTTGCTCACAAGGTGGGGGTGGGGTATGGATGTGGGTACACAGACCCACAAGTCACTGCGGCCCCTCACGAGTTCCATTATTTTGTGGCCCCCACCCCAATCACAGTTGCCCATCCCTGGTAGTATACAGTAGGTAGTATACAGTAGGTACTAGTATATTATCAGGCCACTTTATGAGTGTCTGACCAATAGTGGCACCTGATCTGACTGTCATATGATGTGATGACATTATTAGTTACATCTGCATCACTATCTGCTGGTTTAAATTAATGACAGACATGTTACTAATGTTGGACCAGATCTATATTTGTCATCAATCTACTCATTAGATGTCTCTGTTGAAATGCATTTCCTTAGACTACATGAATCGCTGCAAATTGCGTAATTTATAGGGACTTCGTCTGTTTACTAAAACCGCAGTCACATGACCCTAAGCTATGACCACACACACATGGGTTTGCAGTTACCCCAAGGCTGGCAATAAGCGACGTAGAAGTCCTACTAAATAGAACCTTTGACTGGAACTGCTGCTGGGAGTTCCAGAGGAGAGGTGCATGTTGGGATAGCTGGCGTCGTCAGGGGGGATGTGAGGCTTTGGGAGATGGGGAGAGCAGAGGGTTGGGGGTTGAGTGGGGAGGAAAGAGAGAGAGGAGACCAAGAGGGGGAGAGAGAGAGAGAGAGAGAAGGAGAGAGAGAGGTAGACAGAGAGAAGGGGAGAGAGAGGGAGAGGGAGAGAAGGAGAACGAGTCTTCTCGGTGTGGGGGAAACTTTTCATCCTTACGGAGCTGAATGTTTTCACAGAGCCAGACGCGTCACCACAGTGGAGCCACAGCACACACTGGGAGCAGTCAGATAGAGAGAAGGAGGGAGATGGAGAGAGAGTGGGAGCTTGGAGGGAGTTAGATATACAGACATGGAGAGAGGTTGTTGGAGGTGGGGACCAGATGGATTGATAGAGTGTGTAGGTCTTGCTGAAAGAGGGGGCCGGTTACAGTACAGACATGAGTTTACCTCACTCTGCAGCCTAGCCTATAACTGAACCTTGTTTTCACCCTGTCTGCTGTGGCTGGGTGGGGTAATATCTCTGCCCAGGTACAAGCCAGCCGTTTCCTCACTCATTTAAATTCAACTCTTCTCTATATTAAAAAAGACCTCTCCACTAAAACGACATGAGAGAGAGACATTCTAGGAAAGAGGAAGGATGACTATATTCACCCAACTAACTATAAAATGTATACTATTACATAGACATACAGGGTTGGGGGTTTTAAGAGAAAAGGAGAGAGAGAGATGGAATAAGGTAGAGAGAGAGGGTTGGGGTTTTCTGGGATTACAGAAGAATTCTGTGTAATTCCACTGACTGAATTTGTGGTAAAGATTGAGACATTCACTGACTGCCTGTCTGTGCAGCACACACAAACACACACACACACACACTCATCTTGTCTCTCACCAACACACATAAACAAACTTGTCCATGATGTTTGATGACATTACATTGGACTAGAATGAATAATCTCCATTAGGTTGATGTTTGTCTGAGGATCTCTCTCTCTCTCTCTCTCTCTCTCTCTCTCTCTCACAGAGAGACTGTTGCACTGATCCAGTCAGTTTGTAGCTTTAGACTAAGGCTTAAGCAGCTCTGCATGACTGCTCTTGTATTTGAGAGAGAGATAGGTGAAAGTTTAGCACTTTGCACTTCTTGGTCGAAATTTGACTGAAACGCTATACCCAGCTAGCGCATAACGTTCTGAGAACCATGTTTCTTACAGCTTGGTGAGAGCGTGGTTGTCCTATGGTTATTTTGCATACAACCTTCTTACAACTTTCTGGGAATGGTGCAGGATCGTCTCTAAGCTATATTTAATCTAGTTAAGTATGATCTTACCTGGTTAAAAGCCTCACTACCACTACTCAGATGCGGTCCCGTGTGGCTCAGTTGATAGAGCATGGGCTTTGCAACACCAGGGTTGTGGATTCGATTCCCATTGGGAAAAAGATAAGAGCCTCTGCTAAATCACTAAAATGTCAAATGAATCATAGATGTTGTTAGTACAGTTGTCACTCCTCTCTCCCTCTACATAGGCATGTTGGGTCTGCTAAGCCCACATCTATTTCCCCCATGGTTCTGACAGAGAATAGAAGATGGCGTAGCAGTGTGGTCGTGAATTGTGTTGTGTCCTCGTGTAAATAGGCAGTTTTTTTGTCTTTTTTTTGTATATATTTTCTCTCTCTCATTTCCCATCCTTTAACCAAATATACTTTCCTGCAACCCGCCTCACCCAATGTGGAACGGATTCTATTATTTCTTTATTTTTATCAAGCCTACGGCTAAAACTAGCCAGCTAACTAGCTACTTGCTATTAGCCACCGTTAGCGGTCTTCACCACTGTCCGTGGCCTGCACTACCTACCAGCCAGCTCTAGCCTGGACAATTATCGGTCTGCACAGCGTGCTATCGACCCAGAGCATATCGGATTTTCTGACGGAATCACTGAATCACTGGACCTTAACACAGGATCATCGCAACTAGCTAGCTGCAACCGAATGGCTGTTGTTGGCTAATTCACCACTTGTCCCGATGCACCAGTTAGCCTTGAGCTAGCCTCGAGCCAGACCCATCTCCCGGCTATCTACCTCTCTGTCAACCGGACGGGACCACCTAGTGTCGACACGGAGCCCCGCCGATCCATCACGACTGGTCTGCCGACATCATCGTCTGATGTGGTTTCAACAGGCTTCCCGTTGCGACGACCACGAAGATCCATCTGCTAGCCCCGGCCCGCTAGCACGCGCAATCAACAGCCGTGCCTCCTGCTCGCCTGTGCTGTAGCAGCCTACAAACTGCTCCCGGACTTAGCTATTGCTGTTCACTGGACCTTATGATCACTCAGCTACACAGCTGATGCCTGCTGGACTGTTCCTTTACACGGTACCCTATCCTGTTTCTGTTTAGCCTCAGCCCAAACTTTCGCCGCCATTACCAGTTGTTGTCTTAGCCCTCTCGAATAACACCTGTGATTGCGTTATGCCTCTCTCCCATGTCAATATGCCTAGCCTATTACTGTTTGGTCTAGTTCTTATTGTACTATTTCAATGTAGAACCTCCAGTCCCGCTCAACCAGCCTCAGAGAGCTCCTTTGTCCCACGCCCCCATACACACGGAGACCGGCTCAATCGGTACCTCTAGTGATGCTACCTCTTTCATCGTTACCCAATGCTTAGGTGTACCTCCAATGTATTCATATCCTTCCATATCCTTGTCTGTACATAATGCCCTGAATCTATTCTACAACGCCCTGAAATCTGCCCCTCTCCCGAGTGGCGCAGTGGTCTAAGGTACTGCATCGCAGTGCTAGCTGTGCCACTAGAGATCCTGGTTCGAATCCAGGCTCTGTCGTAGCCGGCCGCGACCGGGACATGGGGCGGCGCACAATTGGCCCAGCGTCGTCCAGGGTAGGGGAGGGAATGGCCGGCAGGGATGTAGCTCAGTAGAGCATGGCGTTTGCAACGCCAGGGTTGTGGGTTCGATTCCCACAGGGGGCCAGTATAAAAAAGAATGTATGCACTCACTAACTGTAAGTCGCTCTGGATAAGAGCGTCTGCTAAAATGACTTAAATGTAATGTAAATGTTATTATCTGTACCCAACGCACTAGAAGACCAGTTCTTAAAGCCTTTAGCCGTATCCTTATTCTATTCCTCCTCTGTTCCTCTGGTGATGTAGAGGTTAACCCCTGTAGCCCCCAGTATCACTCCTACTCCCCAGGCGCTATCATTTGTTGACTTCTGTAACCGTAAAAGCCTTGGATTCTTGCATGTCAACATCAGAAGCCTCCTCCCCAAGTTGGAGTTATTCACTGCGTTAGCCCACTCTGCCAACCCTGATGTTCTAGCAGTGTCTGAATCCTGGCTTAGGAAGGCCGCCAAAAATTCAGAAATTTCCATCCCGAATTACAACATTTTCCGTCTAGATAGAACTGCCAAAGGGGGCGGAGTTGCAATCTACTGTAGAGATAGCCTGCAGAGCTCTTTCATACTATCCAGGTCTGTGCCCAAACAGTTTGAGCTTCTACTTCTAAAAATCCACCTTTCCAGAAATAAGTCTCTCACTGTTGCCGCTTGCTACAGACCCCCATCAGCCCCCAGTTGTGCCCTGGACACCATATGTGAATTGCTTGCCCCCCATCTATCCTCTGAGTTCGTACTGCTTGGTGACCTAAACTGGGATATACTTAACACCCCGGCCGTCCTACAATCTAAACTAGATGCCCTCAATCTCACACAAATTATCAAAGAACCTACCAGGTACAACCCTAAATCCGTAAAAATGGGGACCCTCATAGATATCATCCTGACTAATTTACCCTCTAAATACACCTCCGCTGTCTTCAACCAGGATCTCAGCGATAACTGCCTCATTGCCTGCGTCCGTAATGGGTCCGCAGTCAAACGACCACCCCTCATCACTGTCAAACGCTCCCTAAAACACTTCAGCGAGCAGACCTTTCTAATTGACCTGGCCAGGGTATCCTGGATGGATATTGAACTCATTCCGTCAGTAGAGGATGCCTGGATGTTCTTCAAAAGTGCTTTCCTCTCCATCTTAAATAAGCATGCCCCATTCAAAAAATTCAGAACTAAGAACAGATATAGCCCCTGGTTCACCCCAGACTTGACTGCCCTTGACCAGCACAAAAACATCCTGTGGCGTACTGCATTAGCATCGAACAGCTCCCGCGATATGCAACTTTTCAGGGAAGTCAGGAACCAATATACACAATCAGTTAGGAAAGCAAAGGCTAGCTTTTTCAAACAGAAATTTGCATCCTGTAGCACTAACTCCAAAAAGTTTTGGGACACTGTAAAGTCCATGGAGAATAAGAGCACCTCCTCCCAGCTACCCACTGCACTGAGGCTAGGAAACACTGTCACCACCGATAAATCTACAATAATGGAGAATTTCAATAAGCATTTTGCTACGGCTAGCCATGCTTTCCACCTGGCTACCCCTACCCCGGCCACCAGCTCTGCACCCTCCGCTGCAAATTACTGTGCAGCAGTCTTCATCGACCTGGCCCAAGGCTTTTGACTCTGTCAATCACCGCATTCTTATTGGCAGACTAAATAGCCTTGGTTTCTCAAATGATTGCCTCGCCTGGTTCACCAACTACTTCTCAGATAGAGTTCAATGTGTCAAATCGGAAGGCCTGTTGTCTGGACCTCTGGCAGTCTCTATGGGGGTGCCACAGGGTTCAATTCTCGGGCCGACGCTATTCTCTGTGTATATCATGATGTCGCTCTTGCTGCTGGTGACTCTCAGATCCACCTCTACGCAGACGACACCATTTTGTATACATCTGGCCCTTCATTGGACACTTTGTTAACTAACCTCCAAACGAGCTTCAATGCCATACAACACTCCTTCCGTGGCCTCCAACTGCTCTTAAACGCTAGTAAAACTAAATGCATGCTCTTCAATCGAACGCTGCTTGCACCCGCCCGCACGACTAGAATCACTACTCTCGGCGGGTCTGACTTAGAATATGTGGACAACTACAAATACCTAGGTGTCTGGTTAGACCGTAAACTCTCCTTCCAGGCTCACATGAAGCATCTCCAATCCAAAGTTAAATCTAGAATCGGCTTCCTATTTCGCAACAAAGCCTCCTTCACTCATGCTGCTAAACATGCTCTCGTAAAACTGACTATCCTACCGATCCTTGACTTCGGCGATGTCATTTACAAAATAGCCTCCAACACTCTACTCAGCAAATTGGATGTAGTCTATCACAGTGCCATCTGTTTTGTCACCAAAGCCCCATATACTACCCACCATTGTGACCTGTACGCTCTCGTTGGCTGGCCCTCACTATATATTCGTCGCCAAACCCACTGGCTCCAGGTCATCTATAAATCTCTTCTAGGCAAATCCCCGCCTTATCTTAGCTCATTGGTCAACATAGCAACACCCACCCGTAGTATGCATTCCAGCAGGTATATCTCACTGGTCATCCCCAAAGCCAACACCTCCTTTGGCCGCCCTTCCTTCCAGTTCTCTGCTGCAAATGACTGGAACGAACTGCAAAAATCTCTGAAGCTGGAGACACTTATCTCCCTCACTATCTTTAAGCATCAGTTGTCAGAGCACCTTACCGATCACTGCACCTGTACACAGCCCATCTGTAATTAGCCCACCCAACTACCTCATCCCCATATTGTTATTTACATTGTTATTTATTTGGCTAATTTGCACCCCAGTATCTCTATTTGCACATCATCTATCACTCCAGTGTTAATACTAAATTGTAATTATTTTGCACTATGGCCTATTTATTGCCTTACCTCCATAACTTACTACATTTGCACACACTGTATATAGATTTTCTATTGTGTTTTTGACTGTACGTTTTGTTTATCCCATATGTAACTCTGTGTTTGTTGTTTTTATCGCACTGCTTTGCTTTATCTTGGCCAGGTCGCAGTTGTAAATGAGAACTTGTTCTCAACTGGCTTACCTGGTTAAATAAAGGTTAAATAAAAAAATAAAAAATGTTCTGGGCATCCACGTCTAAGATGATATCAGTGTTATGGTTCTACTGTGATTTATTTGGCTCTATTCTCTTCCCTCATCTCGCCTTACTATCCCACAACAAAGTCACAGTTTCCTTTCATTATGCCCAGCATAAGCTAAGGAGCAAGTTTTTAATGTGTATAAATGGAATAACATTGCAGTAACTCTCTTGCAATAAAAATAGGTTTAAAAAAAATAATTTTGTGTGTGTGTGTTCAGTCTGACCAATCTCTGTCTGTTTACTGTTGGAAGGAAGGGAGTGTGTGTGTGTTCCTGTTTTGGTTCAATGTCAGCTTTGCATCAGTTTATTCAAACACTGGATACTAAACTCCCATCCACCCACACATCTCTCTCTCGCTCGCTCGTTCTTTCTTTTTCAATCTCTCTGTCACCCTCACACACTCACACATGCACGTTCAGACAAGCACTGTAAGTAGGCAAACAGGCACACCCACAGACACACACACGTACACACAAAACATTATTTACAATGACATCCTGCTTCTCTCAGTTGACTGTATGGCAAATCATAGAATAGCCATGAATGGGTGGGTTTCTGTGTTGTTTCTAGCTGATGGAAATGGTGGGAAACTCCAGAGAGAAAGAGAGAGAGGAATGAGGGGAGAGAGAGAGAAAGGGAGAGAGCGATGTGTGAGTGTGTGTTGTGTATGTCTGTGTGTGTGTGTGTGTGTGTGTGTGTGTGTGTAGTGTGGGTGTGTTTGCCAATACTGTCTAAACCATGCCATGTAACCATGTGTGAGTGTCCTTTTTCATCATTATCTTCAAAGACATTGTATTGTCCAGGGTCTAACCCTCTCTACCCTCCCCTCTCTCTATCCCAGGTGTGGCTTCAGCAGTATGGCTACCTGCCTCCAGGTGACGTCCGAGCCCAGGCTATCCGTTCCCCCAAGTCCATCAATACGGCCATCACAGCCATGCAGAAGTTCTACGGCCTCACCGTCACCGGATCTATGGACACCAACACCCTACAGTGAGTCCTGAGTGACCAAGACAAAGAATGCAAATATTTCAGCGTTATTATAATAATAATAATATGCCATTTAGCAGACGCTTTTATCCAAAGCGACTTACAGTCATGTGCACATACATTTTTACGTATGGGTGGTCCCGGGGATCGAACCCACTACCCTGGCGTTACAAGCGCCATATGCGCATAACTTATTGATAAAGATTCATGCTGTTGACTTGTTTTTAAAGCACATGTGAGAATTGTAGTCTCAGAATTGTATACAGAACAGCTAACCCACTTTAAGTGATATCATTACCCCAGATGTGGTACTAAACCCATTTATAAGCGCTTTAATTATTTATTCAGAAATAGAGGTTGTACAGTTTGTGACATGGTAAAGGTAACAAACAGGTGTGTCTTGCTGTTGCCAGGGCGATGAAGCGGCCGCGTTGTGGCGTACCAGACAAGTTTGGTTCCGAGCTGAAGAGCAACCTGAGGAGGAAGCGATACGCCGTACAGGGACTGAAGTGGGACAAACAAGAGGTCACTTTCAGGTAAGACTGCACAGCTTTACTCCTACGACACACAGTTAATAAACTCAGCAAAAAAAGAAACGTCCTCTCACTGTCAACTGCGTTTATTTTCAGAAACTTGTATGAACATAACAAGATTCAACAACTGAGACATAAACTGAACAAGTTCCACAGACATGGAATAATGTGTCCCTGAACAAAGGGGGGGGTCAAAATCAAAAGTAACAGTCAGTATCGGGTGTGGCCACCAGCTGCATTAAGTACTGCAGTGCATCTCCTCATCATGGACTACACCAGATTTGCCAGTTCTTGCTGTGAGATGTTACCCCACTCTTCCACCAAGGCACCTGCAAGTTCCCGGACATTTCTGGGGGGAATGGCCCTAGCCCTCACCCTCCGATCCAACAGTTCCCAGATGTGCTCAATGGGATTGAGATCTGGGCTTTTCGCTGGCCATGGCAGAACACTGACATTCCTGTCTTGCAGGAAATCACGCACAGAACGAGCAGTATGGCTGGTGGTATTGTCATGCTGGAGGGTCATGTCAGAATGAGCCAGCAGGAAGGGTACCACATGAGGGAGGAGGATGTCTTCCCTGTAACGCACAGCGTTGAGATTGCCTGCAATGACAACAAACTCAGTCCGATGATGCTGTGACACACCGCCCCAGACCATGATGGACCCTCCACCTCCAAATCGATCCCGCTCCAGAGTACAGGCCTCGGTGTAACGCTCATTCCTTGGACGATAAACGTGACAAAACCGTGAGACAAAACCGTGACTCGTCAGTAAAGAGCACTTTTTGCCAGTCCTGTCTGGTCTAGCGACGGTGGGTTTGTGCCCATAGGCGACCTTGTTGCCGGTGATGTCTGGTGAGGACCTGCCTTACAACAGGCCTACAAGCCCTCAGTCCAGCCTCTTTCAGCCTATTGCGGACAGTCTGAGCACTGATGGAGGGATTGTGCGTTCCTGGTGTAACTCGGGCAGTTGTTGTTGCCATCCTGTACCTGTCCCGCAGGTGTGATGTTCGGATGTACCAATCCTGTGCAGGTGTTGTTACACGTGGTCTGCCACTGCAAGGACGATCAGCTGTCCGTCCTGTCTCCCTGTAGCGCTGTCTTAGGCGTCTCACAGTACGGACATTGCAATTTATTGCCCTGGCCACATCTGCAGTCCTCATGCCTCCTTGCAGCATGCCTAAGGCACGTTCATGCAGATGAGCAGGGACCCTGGGCATCTTTCTTTTGTGTTTTTCAGAGTCAGTAGAAAGGCCTCTTTAGTGTCCTACGTTTTCATAACTGTGACCTTAATTGCCTACCGTCTGTAAGCTGTTAGTGTCTTAACGACCGTTCCACAGGTGCATGTTCATTAATTGTTTATGGTTCATTGAACAAGCATGGGAAACAGTGTTTAAACCTTTTACAATGAAGATCTGTGAAGTTATTAGGATTTTTACGAATTATCTTTGAAAGTTTATTTTTATGTACGCGATGAGTCTAATGTCCTCTTAAGCCTTTAAAGTGAACTTTTCACATATAAGAATTACACATACACTATAAATAACATATTTATCTCAAGTAACTTGTTAGATCTAATAGAATTCTTAAGGAATATTAATCAATCAAAATCATATTGAATCATATTGAGATTGCATCGAGCAAAGACTGCACAAAATTGCACATAAGAATGCAGAGCAAGAACCAATACACATTTTAGAAGATCCTTTTTTATTATATACACTGCTCAACAAAAATAAAGGGAACACTTAAACAACACATCCTAAATCTGAATGAATGAAATAATCTTATTAAATACTTTTTTCTTTACATAGTTGAATGTGCTGACAACAAAATCACACAAAAAGTATCAATGGAAATCAAATGTATCAACCCATTGAGGTCTGGATTTGGAGTCACCCTCAAAATTAAAGTGGAAAACCTCACTACAGGCTGATTCAACTTTGATGTAAAGTCCTTAAAACAAGTCAAAATGAGGCTCAGTAGTGTGTGTGGCCTCCATGTCCCTGTATGACCTCCCTACAACGCCTGGGCATGCTCCTGATGAGGTGACGGATGGTATCCTGAGGGATCTCCTCCCAGACTTGGACTAAAGCATCCGCCAACTCCTGGACAGTCTGTGGTGCAACGTGGCGTTGGTGGATGGAGCGAGACATGATGTCCCAGATGTGCTCAATTGGATTCAGGTCTGGGGAATGGGCGGGCCAGTCCATAGCATCAATGCCTTCCTCTTGCAGGAACTGCTGACACACTCCAGCCACATGAGGTCTAGCATTGTCTTGCATTAGGAGGAACCCAGGGCCAACCGCACCAGCATATGGTCTCACAAGGGGTCTGAGGATCTCATCTCAGTACCTAATGGCAGTCAGGCTACCTCTGGCGAGCACATGGAGGGCTGTGCGGCCCCCCCAAAGAAATGCCACCCCCACACCATGACTGACCCACCGCCAAACCGGTCATGCTGGAGGATGTTGCAGGCAGCAGAACGTTCTCCACGGCGTCTCCAGACTCTGTCACGTCTGTCACATGTGCTCTGTGTGAACCTGCTTTCATCTGTGAAGAGCACAGGGCGCCAGTGGCGAATTTGCCAATCTTGGTGTTCTCTGGCAAATGCCAAACGTCCTGCACGGTGTTGGGCTGTAAGCACAACCCCCACCTGTGGACGTCGGGCCCTCATACCAGCCTCATGGAGTCTGTTTCTGACCGTTTGAGCAGACACATGCACGTTTGTGGCCTGCTGGAGGTCATTTTGCAGGGCTCTGGCAGTGCTCCTCCTGCTCCTCCTTGCACAAAGGCGGAGGTAGCGGTCCTGCTGCTGGGTTGTTGCCCTCCTACGGCCTCCTCCACGTCTCCTGATGTACTGGCCTGTCTCCTGGTAGCGCCTCCATGCTCTGGACACTACGCTGACAGACACAGCAAACCTTCTTGCCACAGCTCGCATTGATGTGCCATCCTGGATGAGCTGCACTACCTGAGCCACTTGTGTGGGTTGTAGACTCCGTCTCATGCTACCACTAGAGTGAAAGCACCGCCAGCATTCAAAAGTGACCAAAACATCAGCCAGGAAGCATAGGAACTGAGAAGTGGTCTGTGGTCACCACCTGCAGAACCACTTCTTTATTGGGGGTGTCTTGCTAATTGCCTATAATTTCCACCTGTTGTCTATTCCATTTGCACAACAGCATTGACAACAACATTGACTTGGAGTTACATTGTATTGTTTAAGTGTTCCCTTAATTTTTTTGAGCAGTGTATAAACCTTTAAAACGTAAAATCTGCTATTTCCTCCCTGTCTCTCACCTAGCATACAGAACTACACCCCTAAGATAGGGGAGCACGCTACATACGAGGCTATCCGCCGGGCGTTTAAGGTGTGGGAGGCAGTCATCCCTCTCCGCTTCCGTGAGATCCCTTACAGCCACATCCGGGACAAGGTCGACAAGTACGCTGACATCATGCTCTCGTTCTCCGAGGGTTTTCATGGCGACAGCACGCCGTTTGATGGCGAGGGCGGCTTCCTGGCCCACGCGTACTTCCCCGGGAACGGGATAGGGGGCGACACGCACTTTGACAATGCCGAACCCTGGACTACCGGCTACGTCGACCAAGGGGGTAAGAGACGAGGGAAAGGGGGAGGAGGGCGGAAGAGGAAGGGGAGAAGGAGAGCAGAGAAGGCTGGTGGGAGGAGCTATAGGAGGACGGGCTCATTAGAATGGCTGGAATGGAACGAATGGAACGGTGTCAAACACATGAAAACCACGTTTTACTCCGTTCCATTTATCCCATTCCAGCCATTACAATGAGCCCGTCCTCCTATAGCTCCCCCCACCAGCCTCCACTGAAGGTGAGAGATGATCAGAAAGAGGAGTGAGACCAGGGGAGAGAGGAGATGAGAAGCGAAGGAGAAGAAGCGTAGAGACTTACACAGGAGGTACAGGGAGTGGGAGCGAGTGAAAATAGACACCTGAGTGTTTTTCACTGGGTTGTCTGTAAGTTGGAATTCAGTCAGTCTGAATTATACAGTACTGTTAGGGCGTGTCTGTACTTTGTTTGGTGAACGTGCTACTTTTACTCTCTTTTCAAACTGTATTTTCCCTCTTTCCACCTCTCTCTCTCTCTCCCTCTCTCTCCCTCTCTCTCCCTGTCTCTCCCTCTCTCTCCCTCTCTCTCCCTCTCCCTCCCTCTCCCTCCCTCTCTCTCCCTCCCTCTCCCTCCCTCTCTCTCCCTCCCTCTCTCTCCCTCTCTCTCCCTCTCTCTCCCTCTCTCTCCCTCTCCTCCCTCTCTCTCCCTCCCTCTCTCTCCCTCTCTCTCCCTCTCCCTCCCTCTCCCTCCCTCTCTCCCCCTCTCTCTCCCTCCTCTCCTCCCTCTCCCTCCCTCTCCTCCTCTCCTCCCTCTCTCTCTCTCTCTGCCTCGCCCTCTCCCTCTCTCTCCCTCTCTCTCCTCTCCCTCTCCCTCTCTCTCCCTCTCTCTCCCTCCTCTCCCTCGCTCTCCCTCTCCTCCTCTCCCCTCTCTCTCCTCTCCCTCTCTTCTCCCTCTCTCTCCCTCCTCTCCCGTCTCTCCTCTCTCTCTCCTCCTCTCTCCCTCTCCTCTCGCTCCCTCTCTCCTCTCCCTTCTCCCTCTCTCTCCCTCTCTCCTCACCTCCCTTCTCTCTCCCTCTCTTCTCCTCCCTCTCCCTCCCTCTCCCTCTCTCTCCCTCTCTCTCCCTCTCTCTCCCTCTCTCTCCTCTCCTCCTCCTCTCCTCTCGCTCTCCTCTCTCCTCTCTCCCTCTCTCCTCCCTCTCTCTCCCTCCTCTCCCTCTCTCGCCCTCTCTCTCCCTCTCTCCCTCTCCCTCTCCTCTCTCTCTCCTCTCTCTCCCTCTCTCCCTCTCCTCCTCTCCTCCCTCTCCCTCTCTCTCCCCCTCCCTCTCTCTCCCTCCCTCTCTCTCTCTCCTCCCTCTCTCTCTCTCTCCTCTCTCCCTCTCTCTCCCTCTGCAGGTAATGATGTGTTCCTGGTTGCGGTCCATGAGTTGGGTCATGCCCTGGGTCTAGAACACTCCAACGACCCGTCTGCCATCATGGCTCCATTCTACCAGTGGATGGACACCGAGAACTTCCAGCTGCCTGATGACGATCGCCGCGGCATCCAGGCAATCTATGGTAAACTCCTACACTCTTAGAAAAAGGGTTCCGAAAGGGTTCTTTGGCTGTCCCCATAGGATAACCCTTTTTGATTCTAGGTAGAATCTTTTTTGGTTCCATGTAGAACTCTTTTGGGTTCCATCTAGAACCCTCTGTGGAAAGGGTTTACATGGAACTCAAAAGGGTGATACATGGAACCAAAAGGTTTCTAACTGGAACCAAAAATGGTTCTTCAAAGGGTTCTCCTACGGGGACAGCCAAACTCTTTTAGGTTCTAGATAGCACCTTTTTTTCAAAGAGTGTATTTTCATGGAATAATATGTGGTAGCAATGTTCTTAGAATGTTCTATCAATGTTCCTGGAATGTTATAGCAATGTTCCTGGAATGTTACAGCAATATTTAAAACAAACTGTCTCTTTATAATGATTCAGGAATGCTAAAAGGGCAGGAAGTTCTTATCTAGTTCACAGAATGAAGGACTTCACATTCATTTTGTCAACTCAGTTCCCACTCATTCTCTCTCAAGTCCACCTCTGGTTATCGTCGTTCCTCATTTTGTGTTGAATGTGTCCAACCACAGGGTCATCCGGAGCACCACCTCCTCCCCCCCGTCCCCCCCGCCCCACCAGACCCTCCAAACCAGACCCCCCCGGACACGGACCAGATGTCTGTGAGGGACACTTCGACACCATCGCCATCCTCAGGGGGGAGATGTTTGTCTTTAAGGTAAGTATGGAACACATAAACTACTACATAGACTAACACATAAACACACTGAAATACATGGCACAGAAATACACACATATTGGCATAAATGCATTTACACCCACTGAGAAGGACTGAATGGCACATCAAGTCACTCAACTACCGAACCTATGTGTTTGTGTGTATGTACGGTACTATTTAAACGCTATTCTGGTGCAGGATAAGTGGTTATGGCGTGTGCGGAACAACAAGGTGCTCCAGGGTTACCCCATGCCCATCGGTCACTTCTGGAAGGGACTACCACCAAACATCAACGCTGCCTATGAGAGGAACGATGGCAAATTTGTATTTTTCAAGGGTAGGTTCACTTCAATTGGCAATCTCTTTTTCCGTTTTTGCATGATGATTTTGCATTATCATTGATAAGCTCTTTTTAGTTACTGGTAGTCGTTCATTGTTTTGTTTGTATATCCTTTTCAGATCTGTGCGCTTATAGATGTTGTCTCCCCTCCTCCTCCTCCTCCTTCCCTCCCCTCTTCCTCCCTCCAGGTGACAAGTACTGGGTGTTCACAGAGTCCAGTATGGAGCAGGGTTATCCTAAGAGTCTGAAGGAGCTGGGCACAGGGCTGCCCAAAGACAAGCTGGACGCTGCCCTCTTCTACACTCCCACCGGACAGACATACTACTTCAGAGGGACCAAGTGAGTTGTCTTTCATCCTTCATTCCGTTCTTCATTTCTTTACTTTTTCTGTGTACCTTTCTATCCTTCCCTCTCTTCTGGTTGTTTTCCCTCTGTCGTCCCTCTCCATAACTGCCTCTCTCTGTCTGTCAGGTATTACCGTTTCAATGAAGAGTCCCAGACTGTGGACAGAGACTACCCCAAACCCATCAACACATGGCAGGGTGTCCCCGACAACATTAAGGCTGCCATCATGAGCGAAGAAGGATGTAAGTGTGTCAAAACGTGCATGTTAAAGTAGATGTTCGTTAGAGTGCCATTGAGCATTATATAAATTGAAAAGGATAAATATTACAGTGCTTTTGTGATGTTAGAGGAGGCTATCATAGACCACTGCAATTTCTGAAGGTAATGTATCATAATTAAGCAATAAGGCCCGAGGGGGTGTGGTATATGGCCAATATACCACGGCTAAGTTCTTATGCACGACGCAACGCGGAGTGTCTGGACGCAGCCCGTGATATATTGGCCATATATCACAAGCCTCCGAGGTGCCTTATTGCTATTATAAACTGGTTACCAACGTAATTACAGCAGTTAAAATAAATGTTTTGTCATACCCATGGTATACGGTCTGATATACCACGGCTGTCAGCCAATCAGCATTCAGGGCTCGAACCACCCAGTTTATAATGACAGTTATATCTGATCTTTCATCCTCCCTCTCTCTTTTCTAACCTTCTCTCCAGCCTACACCTACTTCTACAAAGCCAACAAGTACTGGAAGTTCAACAACCAGCACATGAGGGTGGAGTCGGGCTACCCCAAGTCGGTGCTCAGCGAATGGATGGGCTGCGCGGGGGAGGAGCCTAAGAAGCGGGACGGTGAGGAGGAAGTGATCATCATCGAGGTGGAGGAGGCAGAAGGCGGGGCCACGGCTGCGGCCGTGGTGATCCCTCTCCTCCTATTGGTCTGCGTGGTCCTCACTCTGGGAGCCCTGCTGTTCTTCAGGAAGTACGGGACGCCACGACGTCTCCTCTACTGCCAGAGATCTCTACTGGACAAGGTCTAGAGACGAACTGAACGAATGAAGGATGGGCGCAGAGGGACAGAGAGAGAGAAAAAGAGAGACTGAATGAATTGAAAGATTTAAAGAAAAAGGGGTTTGGGAGGGTAAGGGTAAGGGTGAGGGTGAGGGTAAGGGTAAGGGTAAGGGTGAGGGTGAGGGTAAGGGTGAGTAAAGTAGGATGAAAGGAGTTGGGGTTTTAAAAGAGAAGGGGTAATGGAAGGGTTGATGGACATGGGGTTTGGTTGGTTGGTTTGTATACGCCCCAGAAGACGAGGGAGAGGGACAGGGAGGAGAGAGAGTCAATCAGGAAAGACAAATGTATGTTATCTATTTACATGTACAGCTTTGCAAGTTTAAAATTAGGAACAGGCCCCTACACAAATCACAGAGGAGGGAAATGATGAGATGACGATGATGATGATCAACATTCCATGTAGTTGCCACCCCATCTGCAATAAATCTACTATCATGTCTCCATGTGTCCCTCCCTCCATTCTATCCCTTCTCATTCTTCCTCTCCTACAATCTCCCTCCCATCTACTTGACGACTCCAGCTGAACTGCTGTCTGAATTACATTTTAAACCTTTATACAGGTACTTTGTTGTTTCATTTTTGGTTTCGCTCTAATTATGAAATCCAGGCCCGAACACCAACAAACAATCACTCTCTTCCTTTCTCCTATCACTGAGAGAAGATACTTTCCAGTCTCTCACTGTGCTCAAGCTAGCACCATGGTCTTAAAGTTGTGGTTCTATTGCGAGGAGCATGCTATGGGCACTACCCTCGCTCTAAAGAGGGGATAAAGGGGTAGTTGTGAGTCATAGTGAGAAAGGCTAAGGTCTTGTCATAGAGGGTCCAAGACAGTCTGTTTGTATCCTAAAAGGAGCATCCCCACCCAGTTCACAAATCTGAAATCGCACAGGCCCTTGGTACGGAGCCTGGTCTCAGTAAGCAGTCAAAATTGGATGGAATTAAAGTAGCCATTTTGGCTCAACAATAAAGCCAGTTTCAATATTACTCCATGGAAAAGCAGTGAAGCTTCATTTCATGTTACCCATTCCAAATACTAATGTATTATCGTATTTGTTATGTTTTTGTTACTATCATTGTTATAAATGTTGTTGTTATTATTATGACTATGGTTATTATTATTCTTGTTGTTCTCCAGGTGTAGTCGTACAGTAAATTGTGTTTGTTGTTTTTGTACATTGTCATTTCGAGTCCTGCTGGACAGAGACAATAACGTGACAATGATCATCAAAATGGCTCCCAAATTTCACATTAGAGTGGTGGACTTGGGCGAGTTTGAAAGTGTTTCCTTTTTTGAAACACTTATTCTCCCATTGCTTGGTTGGCATATAAGAACAATCAAACAAAACTATTTATAAGCAATTCTGATGATGCTTAATGTTTTTTAGTATTACACAAATTGAAAAATGAAGTAGAATTGTTTTAGTAATAACAATGATAATGGTAATGATATTTATAATGATAATGATATCAATAAAAAAGAGAATTAGATTGTTTTGCCTGTTTCACCTTTTTGCATTTCATGAGTTAAAATGAAATAACAAATATTTTCTAAAATATGTCATACCTTACTTTTTGGTAGTGATTTTCTGTTATCGTAACACACACACATACTGTACAAACACACGCACACACAAACACACACACTGGGGAAGAGAATAGCCTTCAGACTGACTAACAAATAGCAGCCTGGCCTCACCACTATTCAAACAGGACTAGGAATGCTGAGCAAACCACAGAATGAAGAGCTGCTTCTCTGGTTCTGTGCATTCCATCTTGTTGTTAACCAGCTATCGTTTACAGCTCACCAGGGGTCATAGGTGGAGTGGAGGAGAGGAGAGCCTAGTTGAAGCTAGGAGGTTGTGTTGGACATGGCCAGAGAGCCATGAGCCCAGGGAAATGAGAAATGGAAAAAGTGATGGAATGATCACATTTTTCTGAGTGCAATGTTCCAACTGAGTTATGTTAACTACATCTGGAATTCTTAAAACATCGGAGCCTCCAGCCCCAACCCAGCGGGAGAGAGAGAGAGAGAGAGAGAGAGAGAGAGAGAGAGAGAGAGAAAGAGTATGAGCTCAATTAAGAGTGATGTCCAGTAAAGCTGAAATTATTTTATAGGTTTTAGAAAAATATTCCTAAGAAACAGCCTTAACTTACTGCCATCCCTCCTCTCTCTCCCCCCTATTCCTCCCCCGCTACCTCCCTCTCTCTCACCCGCTGTTCTAACAGAAACCACTGCTCCACTCACCACAAGAATCTCTGCTCTGTTTTCCTTCTCCTCACATCTCCTCTCATCTCTTCTCCTCACATCATATCTCCTCTCCTCACATCTCCTCTCCTCACAGCTCCTCACATCTCCTCTCTCACATTTCCTCATCTCTTCCTCTCGTCACATCCTCTCCTCACATCTCCTCTCCTCACATCCCCTCTCCTCACATCCCCTCTCCTCACATCTCCTCTCATCATATCTCCTCTTCTCACATCTCCTCTTCTCACATCTCCTCTTCTCACATCTCCTCTTCTCACATCTCCTCTCCTCACATCAGTGGCAGTCAGTGCCGTTTATTGGCTGCTACTTCGTCGGGAGAGGTTGTGTTTTTCTCTAGCAGGAGGTAAGCTTGGCTTCTCATATGGTGTTGAGTATAGCTTAAACCATGTATTTAGATCGTAGGTAGGTAGTTTATTTGGGTGGTTGTTGTAGGTTTCCGTGGGCAATTATTGTAGGTAAGTATTGTTTACGTATTGTTTAAGTATTGTTTCGGCGGGCGAGGTAGCTAGCTAGGGTAGTACTGGAAAAGTTATTGTTTAGTAAGTAATCTGTTACTGCAGTGCTGAGCACGAAATGGCTTAGCTAGGGCTGGGGAATGG